ATATTTATTTACATGTCTCACCTTAAGAAACTCTTTAATCTCATCTTGCTTCCATCATTCAACCACCATCATTCTCATATTTGACACAAATCTTGTAGGAGAGATAAGTATTTCCTAATTTTCATTGTTAGGTGGAAGAATTTTTGTTACAATCACCTTCTTTTAACCATTTATTATGACTTTTCAACGCCAAAATATTTTATTTTCGATTGTCGCCTCCTCAAATTCACCTTTTTTCTTTGTGAGTTATATCCATACCCATTTATCTCATTCCTCTTGTAGTCGTTCCTCCAACTCTTCTATTTATGTTTCAACGGCCTCTAATCTTAATTGTACATTCTCAAATACATATTTGTTTGAGTCTCTCAAGGCTTACTTAATGTTCTTAATTTTTTTTGTTTTTTTAGGCCTTTGTACTTTTTGGTTGAACTTTTCAGAGGTCACTCTCTTTGTACTTCACACACCTTGTTACATTGGCCACATAACTATCTTGGGCCAAACTTTTTGAGAAGTCCCATCTTAATATTTCACACACTCAAGCACTTGAGGTCACATCACATGAGTGTCTCTTGACACTTAGTCGGAACAACTTGGTTCAATATGGGCATTAATGGCATGTTGATTTAGAGCTTGGTGCATCATTGTACGAGTAGATATGATGCCTTGTAGCACATTTTTTTTTAGTGTAGGAAGTGCCTCTCGACACATTCTTCAAAGATGGCTGGCATGTGGTGCCTCATGGCACGATGGTGGAGGGGTTAAATATTGACAGCCCCAACTTTTATTTGACAAAATCCTTGATTCCTTCATGACATGTTTGCATATTTTGAAAATAGAATAAGGATCCACCTAACCTCACACTATTTTTAAACTCAATCAAAATAAGTGAGTAATCAGAGTTGATCCTCAATAAATATTGGGCTTTAATAGAACACAATTTCATACATTTGGCATTCACCAAGCATCTATCTAATATTGAATAAATTAGTAGATTTTCTTTTGTCCCATTGTACTTAGACAGCACATTATCCTGGTGTAATGGGTCCAACAAACCTTGGCCATGTATGAATTCATTGAATTCATCCTGATGTGTTCTTATCTCTCTATTTTTCTTAATTTTCTTATAAGTAAATCTAATGATATTAAAATTACTAGTTATAACCCACATAGTATTGTGAGACCCTCCATGAGCTTAGGGCTTGTCACAGATTACATTTGCAATCATTATCATAGGAAGCATAAATAGTGGTGAGTACATATTGTCTTCTATTTATAAATATTACAAATGATGAAAACTGATTTATGTGACACGTATTGGTAACTGTAATGTGGTTTGCCTAGAATAGTCATATATTGACATTTGGGTTACACCACACATTGTCAAGTCTTAGTTTTCTCTTAATACTATCTAATTTTTCTATTGTCACCATTGGTTCTAGAAGAGCTATAATTCCTAATTTGTGTTGACTACTTAGTTTCCTAATTCTACATTGAGTTGGTAGATTTTCAACCCCCTTACAATTTCATACTAGTGTGTTAATCATCATTCACTATGTATGGTTGAGTCTTGAATTGACTCAACCTCTCAGACCTTCTCATCTCTTGCATGATTTCTCTATGTTCTAAACACGCCATGTGGTCACAGTTACTTTGAGTGCTTTTATTTGTTGAGCCGTATATTTTCTTATATGGTTTATATTCTCTAATTTTTTTCATATCCTATCATTCTTCTTTGAACAAGCTTTACCTCACCTATAATTATGATATTTTCACAATTATGAAACCTAAGGAATGTTGACTAAGATTATTATATAATTTAAAATTTTAATAAAATCTTCTCATGTCCAAACTCTATGACCAATTCTAGATAACTTTGATAACACTTAGAGGTGCAATCAAACTTAATCATTTTAGTATCAGAAGCTCAATCTCACTTTGATTCATAGAATTTTTCTTTGACACAAAAGGTTATTTAAATCACTTGATTATTGGTTAATGTTTGAATGCTTGCACTAGTATCAAAATAGACAACAAAACTGAATAATTCTTTTACATGTCTCACAATTACACTAATATCTCTATTAACATTTAATCATGTAATTTATACATTTAATTATATAAGTTCAATGATTATCTAATCACACTATTCCAACTAAAAGTGATGTTAAAATAAATAGATATGTTATGTCTAATAAATACATCTGATCAATACTAAAATGTTAAGATATTCCTCTCTCTAAAAAGTTAATCAACATTTATTAGTTAATTGAAAATACAGAAATCAATCCTTTGTAAATGTGTCCCATCTAAGGGATCATGTTTGGCCATAGATTTATGTTTCTAGTGTTCAAGCCTCTATAGAGGTTGAGTTTAGATTATTTTATGGGCTTTAATTCTCAAGTAACTTGTATGAATTTAGACTAATTGATTTAAAATCTGACCTCTACTCTTATATATGGATTTAATATTTTGATAAAATTGGTCTCAAAAACTTATTTTAGCTGTTTTTTCATTGATTTTAACATAAATTTGAAGTTTCTTCTATAATCTAATGTCAAATCATATTGTTGTATATTTAGAATTTTTTTACATAACTTGTATGTTTTGATGAGTTCTGTCACTTGATTCAATTCTATTTTTATTTCTTCTAACTCTTAAAAGAATATCTTCATTTTGTCTACTTAAATCACAAAAATGTTTCTTCTTTAAAACTCACATTCATTATCATAAACTTCTTCCTCTCTATCATTCAATTCATCGAGAAGAACAATTATACATTGAAGATAGAGCCATATAAATTACTTCTATTGAATAATGATATTTTTAGTCATCATTTTCCCATCTAAGTACCTTATAAGTCTTAACATAATTATTCAACTCAAATCTTGTTGGTAGTTATAAGACACTGTATTATAGAATGTCTCATTTAATTTCTTGTCCATTCTTCTTTCTTACTTTTAATTATCCTTCCATGATATTGTATTTGATTCCTTTATTCATTCATTTTAATTCCTTCTATTCCTTTATCCTCCCATGACTTTTAATTGTCACCTCACTTGATTTGACTTCCACAATTCATCTAATATTTTGAGTATTTGAGTCATACCTTGAGATAGATTATTTATTATTTTTTTGAATTTGGTAGTTATTTTAACTCAAACTCAATCTTGTAGTATCTGCAACACTTTTGTTACTTGTTCCATCTCCTTCTATAGGTGCTCAAACTTTGTCTTGTTAGTCTTTGATGACATCTAAATTTTGTTCTGGTACCAAATTGATAAGATTTTGGAGCACACAAGATAGAAAATAGATTTATATTACAACAAAAAAGTAAATCATATTAGATTCATCCTAGAGGTCAAACCATAGAGTGCTTGAGTCACAATAGTATCTATTCAAGAAGGTTAATTGTCTCCTACCATATCATTGCTACCTAAAAGCCTAAAAGTAATCATCTCCCCCTCTCATGCCCAACCCTAATACCCTCATTCATCTTTTTTTTGTCATTTACTCAATTACCCTTGACCTAATCATCACCAAATAACCTCAATAATTTACTCATTTTAGATGACATTACATGGATAGGGGGCAAACAATTGTCCAAGATAATGATTTTTATAGTTATGCAAGTCAACTGATCATACTCACCACATAGTTAGTGAATTTGAGTTATGATGTCTAGATGTGAAAAAAGTCAAGGATGATGTGATTCTCATTGTTGACACTTGAAACCTAGGCCCGACTCAAGCTTTTGGGCCAGGAACATTCAGTGATGGGCCGGCTAGCCAGGTCCAAGCTGGGCTGAATTTCTTTTCACGCCCAATTTTGGGATTAACATTCGAGCTAAACAGACCAGCCAGGCTCTAGGCCTGCCCAGCCAGAGAACGCAGCAGGTTTTACTGAGCCGTGTTGGATACTGCTAGTCCTAACAGCCCAATTCAGCCCACAAATCGGAGACTCGTCTCTATTATTTATTATTCTATACGAAATTTTTTCGTTGAATTAATTTCAAAACATAAACTCGGAAAAATAGGCTAATATTAACCGCAATTTTGGATAGTATCACTGCGTCGTCTGATAAAAAATCTCCGACCGTCTGATCCGACTGGGACGTCTACCTGATGGGCCGGTTCTGGACCGGTGGCCAACTCCGAGGGCGGGTGAACCGCCCTCCTCTCCTTCATCCTCGGAGCGGCAACGGCGATATGGTGAAACCGACAGGCCACGTACGTGCAGCGTTCGGCCGACAGCTGCCGCCGGCGGCGGACAACCACGGCGTCTCGGCGCCGCTCCGGTGGACGACCAATTACGTCGTGAAGACCATCTCCATCTCCGCGTGCTTCGTTGGAAGGTATTTAGTCCGTTGATCTGCCGGCAAATCATACAGCATTATTGCCGCTACCCAGCCTGAATCAATGATCCCGTTGGATTTCAGTTCATAACCATCCTTCACATTTTTCCTGAAATATGAATCTTTACGGTATCGCTTGAATTCTTAGCATGCCAGTAGAGAGAGAGAGAGAGAGAGAGAGAGAGAGAGAGAGGAAGAACAGAGGAGACTAATAATGATTTGGTGGGTTAATCGGGTTAGCAAAATCATATCATAATTTCGAGCTCTGGGTCAGAGATATTACTATTTTTAAAAAATATATATCTTTGATGGGTAATCTGTAACGCAAAGATTAGACGAGTATCGGATTTTGTCAGAGCATGCGAGATCTTCTAAATTAAATTCCGTTTTCAAAAAAAAATCCTTTCATGATTTTGTGTCTGGTACTGTTTCTCCTTCGGCTTTAATGGCGGTGGATGAGCGAGAGGAGCAGAGGATACCACCAGTGGGGTCCACACCCATCATCTTCCACTGTCGTCACCTCTGCCCTCTTTCTCTTTCTATAAATCACTCTCGCAGATGATGCTGGTCTTCTCCCCCTCCCCCCGCCCCGCCTCGATCTCGCCGCCAGTGGTGGTGTGGAGGGTCCTTTGCCGCTCGTCTTCTGCAAATGGGGGGAGGATCGGCGGCATCGACGGCCTTGGTCGTTCTGTTCCTTCTTCTACTCACATCAGGTAAGGAGGAAGGCGTAAAGTTTACATACATCAGCCAAGTCGGTCGCTAATGGCGAAAGGGACGGCCTCTGAATCTCTCTGCTCACATTTTTCTTTCTGGGTTTTCCTCAGGAGCTCTCTCGGCAACCTTCACCTTCACCAATAACTGCGAGCAGACGGTCTGGCCGGGGCTCCTCTCCGGCGCCGGTTCCGCGCCGCTGCCCACCACGGGATTCTCCCTCAACACAGGCGAGTCCAAGTCCCTCCCGGCGCCGGCCGGCTGGTCCGGCCGCTTCTGGGCCCGCACCCTCTGCGCCGCCGATCCCACCTCCGGCAAGTTCTCCTGCGGGACCGCCGACTGCGGCACGGGCACGGTGGAGTGCTCCGGCAGCGGGGCCTCGCCGCCGGCCACATTGGCGGAGTTCACCCTCACCGGCGGCGGCGGCAGGGACTTCTTCGACGTGAGCCTCGTCGACGGGTACAACCTGCCGGTGCTGGTGGCGCCCCGGGGGGTTTCCACCGGCGGCGCGGCGAACAACAGCTGCAGCGCCACTGGCTGCGTCGTGGATCTCAACGGCGCTTGCCCGTCGGAGCTGAAGGTGAAGGCCAGCGGCGAAGGCGTGGCCTGCCGCAGCGCCTGCGAGGCCTTCGGCAAGCCCGAGTACTGCTGCAGCGGCTCCTTCGCCAACCCCAACACCTGCCGGCCCTCCTCCTACTCCAAATTCTTCAAGAACGCCTGCCCCCGAGCCTACAGCTACGCCTACGACGACGGCACCAGCACCTTCACCTGCCCCGGCGGCACCAGCTATCTCATTACCTTCTGCCCCACCACCGCCAGGTGAGACCCTGCTTCTGAGTCCAATAGTATCCGCCGTTAACCGACCAGTAGAGTAGCTTCTAATTTTGGCTGTGAGTGGGGCGATGGCGATGGTTGACCAGTGATGCCTTAGCTGACGATCCCCCCTCCTTCAATGGCCATTGGGCAAGGCTATGGCGGAGGAGGAGGAGGCCACTGCTGGTTGATGCTGAAATGCTTGTGCCTCTGCCGCCATTGAAGCGGTTCGAGTTCCAATGGCTGTTATAAATGGGGGCATTTAATCACTACTGACTATTTCCTTCTGTTCATCTCTGCTGTTTGCTCTTCTGCTCGGCAGCCAGAAATCGGCAGGGATGAACCCGCAGGCGATCCCAGTTGGGGGCGGCGGAGGCAACGACCCGATTATCTACCAGGGTGGATTCTTATTTAACGGCGCCGCCGCCGGCCGGGAAGCGGCGGCGACGCGTCTGGCCGTCGCTTCTCTGGCCCTCCTCTCCCTGTCCCAGCTGCTGCTTCCGCTGCTCTGAACCGGTTCTCCGCCCTCGATCTCCATAGATCCTTCCTCTGCCAGCTCGCCTGAGGGATCATCTTGCCGGAGCCGAAGACCACGGCGGAGCTGCACGCCGGGCCACCCGGGTGGGGATGGCCTCCCCCTCCCCCCACAAGAGTCCGGACCGTGTCATGACCGGGCGCACCTGTAGATAGACAGAGAGAGCGAAGAGAGAGAGAGAGAGAGGAGTTGACGCACGACCAACTTTTTCTTCTTCTTTCCTTTATTGTGATATCGTCATATCGATCCTTGCATTCCAAAATAAGTATTTATTCTATTTATTTTTAGACCAGCGGAGACGCTGCCTTCGGCGGCGGCGGCGGGGGATAGGTTAGGAGAGAAGGTGAGCAATCTCCCTCGAGGCATCTGCCACCTTCGAAGCATTTTAGACCGCAATATCGACGCCACCGACGGCCAATCTGGTCATTGCCTCTCCTAAGTTTAACGGCCGCAAGACGGTAACCGTCAAAATGCACGTGGTTGGAGTATACAAAGTTGCTCATGAGAACGACGTCCGAACGGCACTTGACGGCACGCACGTGGTCCCCGCCCACGGACAAGAAGGCCGATCACGTTTCCGTCCCTGTTTCGTCGGCGATCAAGGTGAGTCCGGTCCGTCGGGAAGAAGACAAAAAAATATATTTTATAGTTTTAAATTATATAATTAATTAATTTAAACCGAAAAATACTTCGCAAAACTGAAAATTCCAGACTTTATCGATTTAATTAAAAATTATATTCATATTTTTTCTCCAAATTGGCCAAAAGCGAGGGAATCCCTCCACGTGGACGGGCCCGCGCCCGCGAGGCGACGTCTCAACCGAGCTGAGGTGCCCTCGTGCTCTCTTTGACTCCGATGGCCCGGATCCTATCTTATAATGGTAATTATCATCCATTAATAGAAAATATTAAGTGAGATAGATATTAACGGAAAATAAACAAAAGAATGCAATCGTTGACCGAGGGTGAAATGGTGGGCTCCTACCCGGTGGGTCCACCGCTTTTCTTCTACTCGGAGGACGGCGTCCAAATGGAAGAGACCGTCGTGGGGGTTGACGTATGAATTCAAGAGTGTACGAAAGAGGAAAAGTCGTGGGGGTTGACCTTTTTTATTTACTGGCAGGGGGTGAGCTCGGCCAGTGACTCCCAGCCGGCCCAGATTTCAGCCCAAGTGGGCTACGAAACCAGATAAATAACGGGCCGAACCCAAGGCCCGGTGAGTCCCATTTTCGGCCCACGTTCTCGGGAGGCTATCTACGCTAATGGGTAACGACCCAATTATTATTGGGCCGCGTAGATACTCGGGGAATCCGAATTTACGGGTATAACGGCTAGTTTTTGCTTCATACCGTCCATAACGGAACCGAACGGATATATCGGATGGTCGGTATGAACAAGACCGACACTTAGAAAACTTTTTGACCTACGAGACCCAGAAGGTCGCCTCTGCCGCCATGGATCTCCTGCGCGGGGCTTACGGGGCTCCGTCCGACGAAGAGGACGACGAGGGCACGACCGTTGGCCCGGCTGCGAAGCGGGTCCGGTCAGAAGGTTATCCCCAGCAGGTGTTGCCTCCTCCGGCGGTACGCCGTCGGGAATTTAGCGGCGCCGGTGTTCCTAGTGAGCTCGTCTCCGCAGGGGGGAGGTACGTTTCTAAGAGGGAGCGGGCGCGACTGGCAGCAGAGGCATCGTCTTCTTCTGGAATCACCGAGCTCAATACTCCAGTTAGCACGTCGGTCACGACCCCTGGTTTTCTGGCTCTTACTCTCCTCTGTTTTAGTTTCGTCTTTTTCGTACTGCCCTCTTTTGTTTAACGTGAACTAGTTTGATTTTAGATCTTGTGACGTGCTCGCATCTAAGATGAGGATATCTTTACATAAATACATTTCAGATCTTTCTCAGTAGACTGTGAATTCTACCAAAGGCTTTCCGACGAACAATTTCGTTGAAGATTTTACTATTCAGAAACTCTCAGGGGAGAAAATTTCAAGCGCAGAAAATTTATTATCCGCTTAATTGCTTCATGGATGGTCTTTCCTGTTGTTCGTCGTTGTCATCGACCACATCCTAATCAATCGGGGTTATAGAGTGTGAATCTCAATTCCATTTTCCCCTCTATCTCATGAAAAGACAGATTCTACGTACCTATTTTCATATTTTATTCTCTGCCTTTATCCAAAATATCTTCTTTTAGAGTTTCACAAGAATTGATATCAGAGGCCTCTTAACATGCGCCATTTGTCCCTGGACACGTACTTTCGTGGGTCTTCTCCACATGTTACGATTGTCTCAAACCTCTTCCATAGACTTGATGTCCTTAATTAGTTCTATCATTGCCCAGAAATTTGTCTCATACTGTACTTTTCTGTCTTCGTGCGTATCTAATTATACACTTTTATCTTGTTAACATTGTTTTTCTCGTAGACGTTGTCTGAAAATAGTAAATATATTTCTTATGCAGAATAAATGCAATCCGTTCATTCAGAAAAGTGACCAAAAGATAAAAAACCACATCTAATCCTCCATTCCTTTGAACCATGACGAGGGAACCATTGATTTGTCATTATTCTCGTTTTTAGAATCATTTTTTCGTACGTATATAATGACTCAAGCCCATCTTACATTGGACTTGAGTTAGGTTGCTTCTCTGTTATGTTTTATATGTCATCTTATGCTAAACCTGATTTTTTGCAGGACTCACTACTTTTTTTTTTTTTGGGAAAGTATTTTTCCTCTCTTGCGACAGCACTGATATCTTTTTGTACATATTCTTTCTTTTATTGTATTCCTATCTTTTCCATATGTCCCGCTGATACCTTTTTCCACTGGCTCTAGTGGTTAGAGGCATCTCGGATTTGGACATACCACATAATGCGTTATCGATATTGAGGCATCAAGTGAAGGACAATGTGAGACATGACAAAGAGTCCAGGAAACCCACTGTTGTACTAAGTGGCCACAAAAAGGCGGTCAATGCTGTACAATGGTCTCGTACTCATGGTTAGTAAGTAATTTTTATGTCATCTCATGTTCTCTTTTTTATTTTATTTTTTGTTGAAGTGATACTCTTTTTCTTTTCTCAACGAATTCCTGAACTACTCGACTATCAATTGCTGTTGTTCATCATAGTCTTTGTTTATTCAGCTAATTTGTGCTTCTTTCATGATATTAATATTTGAGCAGAATTTTGTCGATTGGGCTAACAATTTTTTTATTAAAGTATAAGAATAGTAATATTTGCCTGCTCCTGTCTTTTGCATAATTTATGTGATTCCTTTGGGTTGAGTGTATCTCGCTGTTCCTGCAAACAATTTCAGGATTGTTGACATGGCTGACATCAAATGTGGTGGACACTGGATAATACTTATGATTAATTGACCATCGTTAGTAAATATTTTACAATATTACGTTATTTTATTTCTATTAATGGTTGCTTTAATTTATGTTCCTTTTCTCCATTGTTTTGTTCTTGATTCCTCGTGTTTTGCACATGTATGCTCATTCTAGGTCTTCTATTATTTGACTTCATATTATCTCGACAATTCAAGTGCTTCTTAATTGCTTTAAGCATCCAGTTTCTTTCTCTAACTTTCTGTTTTCTATAGCTATGAACTTGGTTGACTTTTAATGCCATATCTCTTTTCTGGTGGCCTATTGTTTTGTTGGGTCTTGGCACCTCAGCTTTTGATTCAGTGGACGAGGCTTGAGAATAATGACGTCGATGCCACTAATGATAATGGTTCTTGAGTAAAGTGTTTGCTTGGTGCCTGCGAATTGTGTTTCTTTGTTTGTGACTTTATTAATATAGTTCGTTACTCTGAAGGACATTGGTTTAATTCTCAATGTACAGTGCTAGATTCCATTTCTGTAGACAGAGAACTGACATTCTTGCCAGCTTGCAATGTTTCTGTGATTTAAAGCATAACAGTATCGTCTCACTTAGTCAAAATGAACTATGACGCCTTAGCTATAATATGCCTTTTTTGGTCAGGGTCAATCATCTGTTAGATGCTTGCGGAGGAACCTTTCAAGAGAGCATTTTGCAGGTTTCATTACTGATAATCTATTAGCGACACAGCCCACACAACCTACTAACCCCTCGGATATTTTACATTCTAACTGTCTGGAAAATTGATCCCTATCTAGTAGGGGATTAGTAAACTCATGGAGTGACAATTTTTTTCCCCTTAAGACTGAAAAGAGAGCGGGCAATTGCTTGTTAGATGCCATATTTTTCTATCATAGAAAGTGGATCATAGGATATTGTTTCTTATCCCTTGTGGAACCCCCCCTCTGGGCGGTCTGGATGGAGAGACATAAATCTAATCTTCAGAAGGAAACTTCCTCTACTACTGAGGTTTAACGGGCATATGAGACAAGGTCAAGGAACAGCTGGAAATCTTGTGTTGCAAAGTATTCCTATTTGAGAGTTGATGGAACTCGCGCTTATGGATGCTCTCTTTTTAATTATATATTGTTGTGGGATCTGCTCACGTTCGAGATAATTTATGAAAAACTACACCTAAAGCTTGTGAAACCTTGTTTTCTAGGAGAACTTTCACATTCTCCATCAATATACCTCGCTTTCCATTTCTAACATGATGTGATGAAAATGGCCGCAGCCCATCTCCTTGCTTCTGCTGGCATGGATCAGACTGTCTGTGTGTGGAATGTATGGAGTCAAGAGAATCAAAGGGCACGCGTCCTTACATATCACGCTGCTGCAGTGAAGGATGTGAGATGGTCTCCAAGAGGGTTGTCTTTGCTTTCATGTGGGTATGACTGCTGTTCTCGGATGGTTGACGTTGACAAGGGGGTAGAAGAACAGGTTTTCAAGGAGGATCAAGTCGTGGACGTCGTCAAGTTCCACCCAGATAACCCGAACCTCTTTCTTTCAGGTGGCTTGAAGGGCTCCCTCCGGCTCTGGGATATAAGGACCGGAAATGTAGCCCAGGAGTATATTAAACCCCTTGGCCCTATACTTGATGTTGAGTTCAGCCCTGATGGCAGGCACTTCATTTCCTCCAGTGACGTCTCCCAAAGTAATGCCAGCGAGAACTCAATCATTGTATGGGATGTGTCGAGACAAATTCCATTGTCAAATCAGGTAATTGACTTCATCTAGAATTCTGTGGTTTATTGTCTTTTTGGTTGATGCCTCTAAGTATTTTTGCCTAGCTTTACTTTTTTTTTTTTTTTTCTCTGAAACCCAAGTTTCTCTGAGGGAAATAGAACTCATCAAATGACATAACTGTCTCATTTAATGTTTCATATATATATATATATATATATATATATATATCTAATATCGCATATTTCAATATATAATGTTCTTTTTCTCTTACTTTTATTGAGTTATTTCGCCTTGGGCTTCTTTCTTTTTGGGGCTAGATGCAAAGGATCCTTTATTTCTTTTTTCTGGTTACATCCACTCTTGGAAACTTCCATACACTTCTTTCCATACTTGGCATCTGCCAGAAACCTTGTTGTCTTACAGAAATTACAGTGGATATTGATTCTTGTCATAGCTGGTGGTGCTCTCTGTTTTCCATTTTCTTAAAGAAACTTGAACAGAAAAGAGAACGCGATCTCAAATCGTTGAAGTGTTCATCTGATTCCAGCATTGGTCGCTTGGATGATCTTTTTCTAGATTGTGAGTGACCGATTTAACCCTGTAATCTGTTGCTGGGAAGTATAGCTGCTCTTTTCTTTTTCAAGGAAAAAATAAAATCTACCTTTACATCATTCAACAAATTAGTTCCGAAGTTGACATTTTTACCATCCTACATAAACTGGCACAAACGCCACAAAAAAAAGAGTCAACTGTTATTATAGAATAGATTGCATGAAATTGACATCACTTCTGCTGTCCAGCTTCCACAAATTTATAGATCCTACTTGAGATTCATGGAAGGTTACGTTTTTTTCATCTCTTTTCCTTTTCTTTTTTAATGGTAGAAAAACTAAAATGCTTGTTTTTCTGTGGAGGGGAAAGGGGTTGACCCTAGCTAGAGAGGAAATTAGCATCGTGCCTATCACTCTCCCACCTCATATAATAGCATCGATGATGTATTATTCAATCCTGGTTTGAAATTCCTTTTTTAGAGCAAAAAGTAGAGTCAACTTTTAGGGCCCAACCGGGTTCGAACCGGTGACCTCTTGATCTGCAGTCAAATGCTCTACCACTGAGCTATGGACCCAGTGTGAGATGAGTTGCGATAAGTCTTATAGAACCGACAAATCTTTCATGCCCTCTCTCTCTCGTACTCATTTATATATATATGTTTACGTTTATTTCAGGTTTATGTGGAGGCGTATACTTGCCCATGCGTGAGGTACCATCCATGGGAGTCATGCTTCGTGGCGCAGTCGAACGGGAATTACGTGGCAATCTTCTCGGGGAGGGCGCCCTTCAAGCTAGACAGGTACAGGAGGTTCGAAGGGCACTGGGTCTCCGGATTCCCGGTCAGGTGCGACTTCAGCGCCGACGGGGACGTTCTCGGCTCCGGCTCGGCCGACGGCGCCGTCTACCTCTATAGCTTCCGCTCCTCAGAGCTCCTCACGAAGATGGACGCCTTCGGGGACGCCTGCGTCGACGTGGCCTTCCATCCCGCCGTTAAGGGCGTCGTAGCCGCTTGCGGATGGGACGGTGGGGTTGCTGTCTTCCGGTGTTAATAACGCCTCTGAGAAATACCAACACGGTCGCTTGTAGAGAGAGAGAGAGAGAGAGAGAGAGAGAGAGAGAGAGAGAGAGAGAGATTATTGGCGGGGAAAAAACGGACATGGATTGAACCCCAATTCACTCATTGGCGCATCAAGGAAATACTCGTCCATAAGTATCTGAGAGGTGAAGACATACGCATCCCCCCTCAGAATATGATCAAAGCATATGTAGAGTGAAAGAGAGAGAGATTACTGGGCAGATAAACTCAAAGGTCATTCTCTCTCTCTCTCTCTCTCTCTCGCTCTAATAAACCGAGACTGAAACTTTTAAGAGAAAATCATTCACCCATTGGCGCATCAAGAAATACTCATCTTAAGCTTGTAGAGATTATTAGATAGATAGACTCAAAAACCACATATATAGCCAAGGCTAATTTTTTATTGCCTTTATGTTATGTTGCAAGAACCATAAAATAACAAGGACTAAGTAGAGTAAAGCCCATAACAGTGACCCAACATAAGAAATGCCCTCAAATAATCAAAGATCCTAAATGATAAGTTATTTGCCTTTAATTTTTACAAAAATACAATTTAACTAGATATTGAGCTTGATAGTTGGCCTAAAAAAATCATGACAGAAACGCCCTCACAATCTTGCAATATTTATCACTCAATATCATTTTACATGTATCATTCAATACATTAATAATATCTTTGACAATCTAAATACTCTACAATATTATTGCCTCCTGAGACTAAAACACAATCCAAACCATCACTTGGACTGCAAAGCTTACAAGCATTTGGACAAATGATAATAGGCTCGATCACATATTTGTCAACTTTTCTTGGAATAGTTTGACCTAGAAAGCAACATAACACGTAGGGATAACCAAGTAGAATCTTAATGGATTTATTCTAAACCAGCCTCTTTAAAATCTTAATGGCAATAAATCAGTTTTTTTAAAATATAATATGATCTCTAAACTCACCAACCCGAATCAAGTTCGAGTTTTATTCATTTTCTTATTCCATCAATCTTGTAAACAATTACCTTTTAATGTTATCATAAGTGATATAAACTCTTGACTGAAAGTTTTGGATCAATTTCAAGTAATATTCTTACTGTAAGATTTTTTTTGAGCTTCTCTCATAGCAAGATGATGTAAGTTGTATTGATAATTCTATCACTACAACACTAAATCATCAATAATTACATTCTTTTTTAATCCTTCATCTCATACCATAACTCAAGAAGATATTGGGAACCTTCAGCATTGACATCACTATAAATATTGAAGGCCATAACATTCCCATTTGCATTTTATGCCACTTACCATCAAGAAAGTTTACTTTCAACAAGAGAACCCCAATTAAATGCTCCTGTTCAATAAATTAATTTTCTGGCCAATGTCACCGGTCTATGGAAACAAAGAGATATTTTCAAACATAAAATTTAAATGTTAAAAATAAGAAATTCAGAAAAATTAGAAAATTATGGAATTAATAATATCCCAGCAATATATGGGGACCATGTGGTATAGAATAGTACGACTTAATGTCACGCTCAATCATAGATCACCATTCAAGGTGATCTATGATGGAGAAGGAAGGTCGCCTGGGAGATTTCCCGTCATTCTTTTTATAGTATAATCGTATAAATATTGCTAGATTTTATTTTTCGTGAGTCAACAGACTTGAACCGATCGGATGGCCTGACCCACTCAACATTGCTTTTTAAAAACGGTGAACCCTTTTCTAAAAAAACAGTATTCGGCCCATAAGCACAAACGATCCAAACGGAAATAAATGACATACAGCAACTGGGGAAATGTCAGCCGGTGAGTCGCTGCTGGACGAAGCCCATCAGATTCCGATCGGACGAGCCGCCTTCCTTCACCGCCTCGCGGGCCCTCCTCCCCCAGATCTCGGCTCTCTGGCGCACGGCCTCCCCGCGCTGCCCCTCGCCCATGACCAGGTCGAGGCACCGCCGCAGCTCAGCGGCGTCCGGCAGACCCTCGGCGCTCGGCTCCGAGCGAACGCCGAACCCCCACGCCACCTCCGCCAAGTGGGCGTTGGCCGGCTGGTCCGACCACTTCGGCATCCCCACGATGGGAACGCCGCAGGCCAGGCTCTCCAGTGTGGAGTTCCACCCGCAGTGCGTCACGAAGCAGCCCACCGCGCGGTGGGAGAGCACCTCCACCTGCGAGCACCACTCCACCACCATCCCCTGCGAGCTCTCCTTCACCCCCTCCCGGCCCCCCCGCGCCACCCACAGGTACGACCGCTGGCTGTCCTCCAGCGCGCGGGAGATCTCCTCCCGCTGTCGCACCGGCAGCACCGTGTAGCTCCCGAAGGAGACGTAAACCACCGAGCGGTTCGGCTGGGCGTCCAGCCACGCCGTGTAGCTCTCTCTGGGCGTCTGCTCGAAGAGGTCGCCACCGAAGGAGGTCTCCGTCCCGTCGAGGCCGTCAGCGTAGGCCGACGGCAGAGTCGGTCCAATTGGGAGGAGCTCCACCGGCTCCGCCGCCTGCAGATAATCCAGCTCCAGGGCCTCGAAGGTGTTGATCAGAACTCTGGCCTTGGTGTCCATGGTCTGGAAGAGCTCCTCCACCAGGGGAAAGAACAGGTCGTCCTCCGGGTTCCTGGAGAAGAGCAGGGAGGGGACGTCGCGGACGTGGAGAACCGGCAGGCCCGGTAGATCTACTGAGGAGAGGGGGTCCTGCCTGTTGGCCTTGATGAGGCCGGGATGGCCACGGAAGTAGAGGTGGTAGATGGCGAAGACGGCGGCGGACTGGATCCAATACAGGGCGGAGGTGACGCCGAGGTCGCGCGCCACGGCTGCCGCCCAGGGGACCAGGAAATTGTAGACGACGCAAGTCACCGGGCGACCGGCGGCGGCGAGGTCGCGCGCGAGCTCGGCGAGGGTCCGGCTACCGACGGACTTCAGCTCCTGCAAGAAGTCGTGCCAGTCGATGTTGACCCAGTCGACGTACCCGTCGTACTTCCCGACGGAGTAGGGGGAGCAAGCAAGCAGTGGGGGAAGCTTTCCCAGGGGAATGCGGCGGTGGACCTCCGTAGCGGTGGAGAAGGTGACCTGGGCACCGAGGCGGGCGAGGCGCTTGCCCAGCTGCAGGGAGGGGTTGATGTGGCCCTGCGCCGGGAAGGACACCACCAGGAAGTGCTGCTGCGGCTGATCCATGGGCGGAGCTGTCGGTGGTGACGTCACCGATCCTGATGAGTGAGTGGCAGCCTGCTGCGGTCTGCCCTTTCGTACTGAGGGTGGAGCCTGGGAATTATACATCGTGGGAGAACGTGGACCACATGCCAGAACAACCCTGTCGATCGCGTTCAACAGCCGTCCAACCAGGCGTGGCGTGGACGCCGGCGAGTTATCCAAGGGAAGACAGCAGTAGCCGGATAAGAAGGGTGCGGCAGAGCTTACCTGCTTTGTCGGCGTCGGCGATCAGCATGGGGAGGGGCTCCTCCGAGCGCTCCTTGCCGGAGAGTCTCTGTGTAAAGCTGATTCTTGAACGACTGTAGAAATATTTCGAGAGACTGTGATATATATATATATATATATATATATCGAGAGAGAGAGAGAGAGAGAGAACTGTTGTCTAGGAGGCGTCGTCGGGTGTCAGGGAAACGCTGGTTCTTGAGAGAGGAGAGAGAAAGTGAAATATGAAATAAAATGTAATATTTAGTGGGAAAATATACACAAATATTTATATTGAATCACTGGATCGGATCTCATTAATCTGGTTTCACTTGTACCAGATTAGATCAAATATACATCTAAATGAAGAAGGATAAAAATATATAAAAATGATATAAATATAATTAATAATATAACTATAATATAATTATCATATTTCACTCTCCAATATTCTTCTTCAAGTTGATGAATGAATGTCATCTAGTCCCAACTTAAATATAAGTATCTAGATGATTGATTTCTTTGATCCTTTGGTGAGAATATGTATCCATTGTTCATGACTTGGGACATGGTGTACAAATAATGTCAATACATATATTAGATTGTCTCAATTCACCCATTAACGCATCAAGGAAATATTCACCCATTAGTATCTGCTCAAAATATATTCCTCAGAATATGATCTAAAGCTTGTAGAGAGAGGGAGAGAGATTCTTGGACAGATAATCTCAAAGCCCCCCTCTCTCTCTCTCTCGCTCGCTCGCTCAGATATGAATTTTTAGGGGAAAAAGCCGACCCAGATTGAGCCCCAATTCGCCCATTGGCGCATCAAGGATCCACAAGTATCTGAGAGCTGAAGACATATAAAACATCCCCCTCCCCGCCTCAGAATATCATCTAAAACTCCAATATGACTGCTGACAATCACCAGGCCCACAGGATCCAACTGGGACGGATCGATCATCCTCAAATCTCCCTGAGAAGATCCAGGCGCGGATAGCCCTTGAGAACTCATAGCGCCTTCTTTCATTTCTCGCCAGCATCTGTGACGGACGAGAGCTGCTCTTCCAAGGCTCTAAGGAGGTCCCAGTACTCCTCGAAGGCCGGCTGCGACTGAAAATGAGCAAAGCGGGCATCCGGCTCAGAAGAGAGGGAAAGAGAGAGAGAGAGAGAGAGAGCATGTACCTGAAGAGTTGTTCTGTATGCCTTCCACAGCCGGATATCGTGGCGGAAGAGGTCGAACAGCACCTACAGTTAGCCATAATCGACCCATGTGAATCTCACGAACGATCGAAGGTACGTTGTATGGTTGTGTAACGTTACGCAGTAGAAATTTATTTATGATAATTTCAACTTTCGGCGAGTTTGAGAGAGTAAGATTACCTCCGTGCGCCTCAAAAGGGTAGCTAGGACGACGATCCATTCCTTGAATTTAACCGAGCACATGTGGGCCAGAAGGAATTCCGCATCCAATCGGCTCTGGAGAGAACCCATCTGGAGCTGGTACACAGAGAGAAAGAGGGATTAGATAGATCATGGTTACCCGATTAGGCAATATAAATATGGGTCAATGAGAAACATGATCGAGCATGTTAAACACGCATTCCCCTTGCGATTTCATCGTCCCCAGAAGTCAGATTACTAAAAACGCATGCTCTTTGTGTAATTATTTTGGTCAACGTTTGTACGTCCAATCAATTGCAGGTGATTGACAAGTCACGAGAGAAGAAAAAGACAGGCTTAGATTCATATTTTCCTACCTTCTGTCCTATCAGTTCGAGCCCTGAAGCGAAATTCTCCAGACGGGCAGATCCCAGTCTCTCTCTTTGGAGATATTCCTGCAATAAGTGGGGATGGAAATTAGTCTCTCTGATTTAAACGGAAATAAAAAAAGAAGAAAATAATTACACAACTCACCACAAGGTCAAACTGTGTTCCTTTGACAAATGCAACCAACTTAGAGAGCTCCTTCTCGGACATAAGGTAGCCAGCGTGGTTTTCCAGGATGTTCTTGACTGAAGCAATATGTGGGCTCATCTCCTTAACAGATGCACTGATTCACACAGAAAAAAGAAGAAAACAGTATGAACACAATGACTGAAAAAAAAGAAGACGAAGAAGAAGAAGATGGGACGTGCGTGTGATGCAAGAATTTCACAAGTTTCTAGGATAAATTGCCACAAAAAAGACAATCGAGGGATATTTCTGCAATGTACCTCTTACTGTCGGATGGCTGCTTCCTGTGGGAGGGGAAGAGGAAAAACCCCAGGAATCTGGGAGACAGCTTATCGGACTCAGGGGTGGCGTTGTCGTAATCTCTCCCCGATCGTAGTAGGAACCTTACCTGAGAAACAAACGAGCACAGTCATCTGATTGAGATCGATGGCGACGCAACTGCAGAATTAGGCAGACTCATGGCAAAGCGTACCAGCTCTCCTGCAAGTTCGTACAATGACTCAGCCAGTGTTGCCTGCAGAAGAGAAAATCGCATCGTTGATAATAAAAAAAAATTAAAAAACGGCCAATGGACATTTTTCCTAATAATGACCGGTTCTTACCTGTAGCAAACGCATAGCACAGTACTGACTCACGGCAGGGCCTTCAAGCTTTGCAATTACCTGCGTTTTTTCAAAACATAATTTTAGGTTTTAGTTCCTTTCATCACTGGAAAAATTCCAGAAATCCATTTTTGCCTCCCTAAACTATGGAATCTACACCGTTCCTCTCTAAGTTGTATTTGAGCTAATTCCTTGGCACGAGTATCACATCTTGCGAAAACGTGATACAGATCACACATCGTATGGTTTTATTTCTGGGTATAAGCCTAAAGGATCTCTAGTGTGTCGCTGAAACCATACCAGTATATAGCAGGCAGCAGTTCTGTACCATCTTCGTTGGAAACATTCTTCAAACAACCTGAAAGAAGAGCAATTATTGCATTTTGAGGAAAAAATAATTGAACAAACATAGGAGGAAGAAAAAAATTCATAAATATTGGAAAAAAGAAAGTAGAGTGATGCATCCCATGGAAAGTAGATGGTGGATCTTATACAGAAGAGATTTGGGGGTAAATTTATGAGCCGCATGTTCATTCAACAGGTACCAAGTTCTCTCATTTAAAACGTCCATAATCCAATGACAATGATACACAGCTGTTTAAGAAATTAAGAAATAGCATCATAAACAGGAGCAATACAATATAACGAAAATCAGATCTAGCCCCTGCAGAACAAAATCCTAGTCATAGACATACAAAGCTGAACAAAAGTATGGGTCATGCACAGCTTATAAGTTCATGCACAGGTTTCTTTTCCTCATTAGGAGGGTACACCTAAGGGGCTATTGAGAATTAGCAAAGGTTATGGATGGTTCATGCTACATTTTTTCAGTTCAGGCTAAAACTTCCGGCTGAGTGTACAACATTCATTGTACATAGGTGAGAATCTCAGAGAGACCGTGAAAAACATGATTGAGTTTATGATGACAGAGGTCAAACATACCACCCAGAAAGTCAAGAGGCCGCCCTATTTATTCAACAGAGTATATTTCAATATTTCAAACCGTAAGAACTGGATTCGTAATTAAAATTTAAAGCTCTACCACTGAGGTTTACAACGATTCTGTGAAACATACTCTGTTGATCTTCCAGCAGCGGAGAACAAATCGGCCCAGTGTCTCCCATCTGTTTTCCTGGCAACACTGACAACCACGTCCAGATATTCCGGAAAATTTTGGATCAAGTTACAGGTCTTCTCCAAAAGGGTGTGCTTTGAGGGCCTTAGAGATGCAGATAACTGGTTCTTACTTTGAGGGCCTTAGAGATGCAGATAACTGGTTCTTACTCGCGCTTTGGCTGTAAATAATGATGAGTCACAGTTACATAATGATTTTCATAAAAAAAAATACAAGATGAAACCAGTCAGTAGATAAACAAGATTACTTTACAAGCATTTCAAAGGGAAAAATCAAAAGAACCTATAAGAGACGAGAGCAAATGCATAGGCATGGATGGCTCATGGGGTTGGACAGTTGTGATTCCGTATTAACCCGAGGCGTCCCAAATCATGGATTTTTGAATTCCCCCAGGTGCCGCTCACAACTGATGCATATCCTTTCCCTCTCCCTGTTCCACAAGAGGCCCAAGATGTGGTAGAGAGTGAAGGAGAATGAACTGAGGAATGGGGTGTCCAACTTCAATCAGAGCTCTCGAAGAGCAAGTTCCAGGGACAAGGCTGAATAATTTAACAGATGAGGGCGGGAGTTGTGAGAAAAATAACGCTGGCCAATAGTACGACCCTCTTTTACTTCAGGCTACGGCTCTACGCGTCAATATTGAATGTTTTTAGATCGTCAAGGCAATACAATCCAGTAGAGAGAAGTTGAAAGTTGATTTCATGACTGGATTATGCCCAGATGCCAATCATTTCAGCTAGTACGAAGGTAGAACCCAACCTAGGCTTGATGCTTCCTCCACGACTAGCATGCTTTTTTCCCTGCTCATGCGTTAGCAAATCGTGGCTCACTTGGCTTTTCCTCAGTCATTGCAACATAAAAGCAGAACTGATTAGCAAAGCTGTTGCTTTGAACTCGGTAAAGGCCTCCCCTATGCTCCATAACTTGAGTGCTATCACCTGAGGTTCGTTCATCCAGTTCACCGAGATTGATTGCAAGCATTCTTCTTTCCCATTTCTCGATTTGCGTGCATCATGCCTGTCCAGGGCCATGCTGCGTTTCATCGATTGAAACCAAAGAGACAGAATCCTCCTTTTCCACCCCCTCTTGTGATTCTATTGGATTATTGAATGCATTTAGTTGAGCATTATTGTGAGTATATGCCAGTCAGGGGTCTTGTTTCATAATAGATGGAAGTAGAAGCTATTAGGAGGGCATTTAGTTAACAATTTGGGCCAAATCATGCAAAAAAAATGTGCAAAGTATGGTCTGTCTATAGAATTCCCAGAATGAGTTTTTGGGCGCTAAAAGCTATACAAAACATAAAATAAAATAAAACATATATAGCACAAGAAAACTAAAGCTACCCATCTCCGACAAAGTGTAAAAGGTCATTCAATCACAAACCTCCCTCTGGAGCATTTCCAGTGTTCAATCCTAAACATTCTGCAAGGAATGTTAACAGCAACAAACACCACACCTTAGAATCCTCTAAAGATGAGACGACCTAATCTAATCCAAAGCCCAAAAGACAAGAGATCAGCTTCAGGTTGATTATTCAGAAATAAATATGGATTGGCTGATCCCTGTTGATAATCGGCTGGTCACTGGATCAGTCATATTTCATCAATTGATAATAGATCAGTCAACCTACTAAAAATGCTTTGTGAACTGACAGATTAAGTACTAATGCACCAGTGGTTACGCCTCCTACTCTGGAACCCGGAATAAAATTCCACAAGCAGGACACAAAGCTGTCTACCCTTCACAACTGAGATTTGACGAGGAAAGATTTCAAAATGCCAGAAGATTTAATGCCTACTCCCCAAGCAACATTCACCAACTCTCCAGTCTACTTTCTTTCAAATAGGCGGTTGCAAGAGGGAACCAAAGATAGGGAAACTGTGCATGGTACCTTTGGAATAATGGCCCCTTTCACGCACACATCTTGTTTGGAAATTTCACAAGCACGATATGCAGAAAATTTAAATGCATGATAGCTAAATAATTGTTCTTCCTTTCAGTAAATGTTTGTTTTGCAGACAGTCATCATAATGAATTTCTGCTCCAAGTATTATTAATATTGTCCTGAAAGCATAAGAAAACAAATATTTGACGTCTAATTGAATTTCAATCGCGATGACCTTTTTTTTTTGGAAAGTGGATAGTATATAATCATGATGCGATTGAATTATATCATACCTTGATATTTCAGCATCGAACACTGTGAAAAGTAGCCACTCCAAACAATGAGAGAAATGAGGCTTTTCAGCAGATAAGCATGCCAACCGTAAAGCTTCCTCAAACTTGTCTCTCTACGAATCAAAACGACAAGAATTTATCACTTGTTAAGAGACATGGGTTATGTGTAGTTGCAAGCAACCCAAAATATCCAAACAATGATCCTAGCAAGAGAGAGAGATTTCACTTATGCGTTATTACAAGTCTCAACAAGTTAAAAATTGCGCAAAGAGTCATCCCAAAGAGATTCTCAAAAAGCTCCTTAATTTATATCAGTAGGCAATAAAGCCCATAGCGCCAACACAAACCTTTAACGTTTCCAATGAAACAGAGAATATCTAACAAGTCACATATATATCCCCATCCTCTTTCTTTTTGTTCCACTCTGCTTCTTTTACACAATAGACGGGTGATGGCCTCCCTGATGTACTACCTCATGGGGATGAGGGATGATGAAATTGAGATACTATTATAAAGAAAACCAAAATTATATAGACTTCATGGGGGAGTCCTCAGGATATATATATGCTTCTATGTACATTATGTCGGTTTGCAATAACATAAGACCGGAAGAATGCACATCATAGAGAGAATAATGAAGACGAGGCAGTGATGATGGTAGTCATCATAATAGCATGATGCTCTGACTGGTGCCAGTCATTATGGTGGTGGTGGGGTCGTAGATAGTTCATCCTGAACATGTTGGAATTCGTCGAAATGAACTGGTGATAAATCCCGCATTCATGAAAAATAAATACCTTAAAATGACTGTGAAAAAACAGTATCTTAAAAGCAATACCTCGATCTCAACAGATTTCTATCTCAATTGGAATCATCAGGTTTATTATGTTTTTGGGAAGGCATTCGTCTCAGCATGAGTTCTAACCGAAAAACGAAACAAATGCTACAAGATATCTTTTCCCCTTCTAGTAAGCAACCACATCATAACATCCCATCCATCGACCTAACTCTTATTATTTGAGGTTAACGTTAATCCATTCTAGCCATAATATACTATGAACATTCGTTTACATTATCCTAAGCAAATACATGGAATAGCCTCTTTATAAGAATGTATCAGACTTCAGCTATGACATTTCAGTAACTCAACAACTTCAAAGAAATGATATTAGGAAAGCTGGCATACAGGGACGTCTAAAAGGTTTATCCTTAAAATGAGTATCGAAGACTGACGTCCATCTTTTCATCAAAACTTCACTAAGAAATAATATATGGTAATATTAGCTCATTTCCCGTACCCATATCAGGGCTTCAAGCCATTTACGATACATAATAGCAGAGAGGTAGCCCGGCTAGTTCTTCAACTGACAAATCCCAGAACTTCTGATCAAATGGACATCGAATGCAATCAATAAGTCTAAGACAGGATCATGAAGTCATACCTGAAGAAGATGACGCAGCAGACAATGCAATATTGTCTGAGCTTGAGGAAGGGGCTCAAAGTATGGAAATTCTGTACAGCTTGAGAACGATGTTCTCTGTGAGACACCAACAATAACCCCAGCATTTGGAAGGAGCCCCGAAGGATAAACTTCACGATCAAATTCAAGCTCAGGATCCAACTGCAGAGATAACACAACCTCAACGCATTCAAAACATATTTAATTCCAACAGAAAAAGCAACGTAATGGTTTCATGGCAAATGGACAGCAAACCGATGGGCACAGTAGTTTAAAATGTTAAAATGAGAACCACACGTCAAAAGCATGAAATCCAGCAGCAATCTAAAGGTGACTGCGGCATTATCTCACCCCTTTTCTCTGCCCGTACACCTCTATGCGCATATCTTCAGATAACAAGATGCCAATCCAATTTACGGGTAAAAACCAGTTTCGTTGACTCACTCTTTGGTTTCCCCAACAGATCCCACCTGACGAGATGGAAGAGAGTAAGAACATGCATTTTTTTCCTCATGCGAGCTAGCCCCTTTTTCCCTACTGACCTTCTGGCCCCTTTTCTGGATCTTGCACTACCACAATCCTCTCAACCAAGATTCTCAACGCCCATCTCCATAACACTTATTTGACACTGGAGCAAAGGAGTCTTTCAAGTTGCACACAAGATCCTTGGAAAAATCTTGCTTCATTCTATAAGGAGTTACAATTTGTGTTTGCTTGTTCCTACTTCAATTCTAACACTCCGAGAATGGCCGCTCAAGATGATGCTATAATTCCATAGAGAAGAGATGCTCAGGGGAACTTGAAAATAGACCACAAAACTACAACTTGCACTTTGTTCCTGATTAACATTATTTTTCCTGTCCTGTGTCGATTGCTTAAAACTGTGCTAATTTCGTTTGCTGGACCTCTCCTCCTGCCTCCTATGCATGTCGACATACATCCTCACCAATTACCGCTACCTTTGAAAAGAGATTTAACTGCAAATAGTTTCACCAGGTTCCCATCTTCAATTCTTAAGCTGAGCTTTAAACTAAATATTTCATACTACTGATCTATATTCTCAAAAAGTTATTCTGTAGAATTCATAGAGCATCATTTACATTTCTGAAACCTTATTTCAACTGCTCCCGGTTTGTATGGATAACGAGTATTATTTTTATTTTTTCCGCAAAGGAATAGACAGACACAAAAACCTTACTGAAATCCAATCTCCGAACCATTCCCTGGTTTGAAATCTGGAAACGATAATACAAGGATTTCTTTTCCAGTTGATTATTTCCAAATGGCCTAGACGCCATTTTTCTTGGACTGAAAAGTTCCCCACATCATGTTTTTCTTCTAGTCTTCATAATCGGAACCGGCCAATCTCAATCAGAAGCAGCTTTACCCGACCTGATGCGAGAGGGATTCCACTCCCTAGTTGAAAGACAAAATGTGATGGTCTGTTCCTACCTGCACCAATAATGGTTAAGGTATAGCATTTCCTCAAGATATGACAGCATTTGGAATCACCTGAAACACTATTCAATCTCCATCACGTTATTGATGCCGGCACATCCCTGAAATAGATTTCTTTTCTTAGCTGCATCCCCTCTCACACGATTATTCATCTATTTTATTACAGATAATAGACCAATTGTAACACGGCTCAGGATCAGGTCAAGTAGATAATTAACCCCTCCGGTTTTAATGGTTCACTCTCTGTGCCTCCATCTGTTTATCCAACTCTTAGTAGATCCACTTCGTCTTCTGGTGACGTCACCAATTCCAGCTACTAGATCTACGTCTACATTTCAACATCATTCGTCCATCCCTACTCCGTTTGAACATCTTCAACCACGTCGCAGCCAAACTGCACTTTGGGCAATTGAACAGATAGCCAATCAACTACATGGTTTGTGCTCCAAAATATAGGATAGTCCGAGAGATAAAAATTCAATGGCATGAACATTGAAAGATGCAACATATGCCACCAATCCATCTGATTCAATTAAATCCCAACCCCACGTTAAAACGTATATATCATCAACTGCTTTTGTACCCTTTAGCTTAATATATGGAACAATAATATTTCATCAACTGATAGAAGAGAGTAATTCCTGGCGCATCTTTTAGAATCATTCCAGAATCAAAACCGAAAGGAAAATCATAAGATGCTTCATAAACCCAACTCACACAACAAATCTGACCTGTAAGAAATCTTCCTGCTTAAAAGGATCAGCTCCAGGAGAAGGATACCACACCTGCATGATCACCACAAAACTATAATAAAAGTCGAACGTAAAAACAGACACTTTTCCAAATCCAAAGACTACCTATTGATAAATGATGGATGTATTTTAGTTCCTAAAAGAATCCTTACCTGCATACCCCGACAACCATAATCTAGCCAAGAAACTTCCTCAATAAGATTTGTCTTCTCATCTGATTGCCCACAGGTCACCCAGAACAGTTCAACGAAATCTGCTAGTCCTCGTTCGTGTCCATCATCCAAGTCAAGCAATGAAAGTTCTCCATTTGAACGTAATATTAAACATCTGACATAAATATGAAGTCAGTTTGCTGTCACAACGAGCTTAAAGCTGCATGAAAAATTCAGAGGGACAAAGATACCTAGAAGGCTGCCTGAGCAAAAAGTCTGACGATTGGAAACTTCCCTTTTTCGAGATCTCTTCTTTTGGAGTAATATCAGGGATGAAACGCATTGCTGCAGGATGACTCTTTGCAGTCATGATTGAAAGCTCACGTACTGTAGAAAGCTGTTTGTCATTTGAGTACTTAAAAAGGGCGCATACAAAACCTATTGCTCTCAAACTGAAAGACAGCATTTAAAAGTATGAATTCAACAAGAAACATGGCAAGACTTTTAACATGATATACGATGATTAATCCACTTTATTTCAATAGTTAATGTACATACAGTAAAATTCACTCTAAAAAATAAAAACATTCATAATGAAAAAAGGAATGAACCGAAAAAGGTCATATGGCTCTTGTCCAAAAGGGATCCCTCAGGGCAGTCCGTTGTCTCCCGTCTTAATGAACATCTTTCTTCACCAACTTGATGTGAAGATGCAAGATTTTGTGAGTAAAGAAGCGGGAATTAGGTATGTGCACTACGCTGACGACATAGCTTTTGCTATTAAGGAAGGAGCCAACTCAGAAATGGTAAGAAAACATGTGTATCCGATGTTCATCAAAAGTTAGTCTATCAGAGATTTTCCGTTTACCTGTAAAACTGGAGTACTTGAAGGTGACAGTTCTCCAAACACTTTGGCTTGGAAAATATGGATGTCAAATGGGCGATAAGTCACAAGAAGGTAATCCTCAAAAACATCCATGACCATCGGCTTGCCAACCAGCAGTTTCCGAAAAAGTAAGGAGCTTTGATCAAGATGATATCTTGGGAAGAATAGTAACTCATACCTGTTTCAGGAAAGCCTTAAATTTGATCACATAAATCTCCACAAAGTTCAGCACAAGTTAAAAGCCAGTAAAATACTTTAGAACCCTATGCTTGGTTCGAAACATATAATGCTTTTCTACATCATCCTACACTCAAAGTTAGAAATATTTGATAGAAAATGACCGGGCAAAATAACCCAAACAACCAATCAAGAGAAGAAAAGGGACGTAGAGACCATCAACAGCATTGGGCGGGGGCGGCGTTTACACTATTTGTTGAAGAAAAAACATTTATTGAGGTCCAGCAATAGAGGAGGGAAGACACGACTTAAACTGCGACCAACCTGGGAGATCCAAAGAGAATCACTCTTTTTTTTAATAATCTTAATCGAGGCCTTAATATTCTTGGATAACAGATATACCTTTAAGACTTGTCAACTTTCGGTACCCTCATAATGTAATTTCAGTAAATGCTAATAGATAAAATAGGAACTTCTTCCACATTTTGACGTATCGGTGGTTTTTCTACCTTGAAGAAAGCAGGAAGGAACAAATAGGAAATCACGGTAAACCAGAGATATAAATGGTGAGTAGAAAAATACTGAGATTGACACAAATAACACAATCTGCAAGGGAAATTTTCTTACGAATTCGATGATTCAATATAGTTGCAGACGACAACAATTTTTCCCAACCACAGCAGGCCTTTGCATGCAATTTGCTGTTCTTGTGTAACGTCTCCAAACACCCGCCATTTTTTAGAGTGCAAATCGTACAGGATTAGTCCACGAACACCTGCAATTGCCAAGTAGGTCCCATCTCTGCTTGCGACTACATGTAATATTGGCCAATTTTGTGAAATATAGGATACCTGTAACATAAAGATTGATGTACGAGTAATAAACCGAGCACAACACTTAAAAACATGAGGACCAAATGTAATAGCAAATAGATGTCTTACCGGAAGATTAAGGTGTAAAAATTTCAGATCATCTGATTCATCAGACTGCACAACTAGAATTCTATCTTCACCATAAATTACTTGACGAACATAGGTTGCACCAGACAGACCCCTGCTAACACAGCACTTGCCGAAAGAAAATGAAAGAATCCTTTCACAGGAACTCTCCTCAACAGCATAGAGTCTGTATCCATATTCGTCCCATTGTACTAATGATGTACCAGCAAGAAGAGGCTCACATTTCAGATCATGGTTAGGTTTCACCACAGGTGAGGAAATGGAACTCATTCCAATCTGACGAATCGTACACATTAAGCGACAACCAGAAATAGACCACACAGCAAGTCCTCTACATTTCCATCCCACTGCAAAAGCATAATTGTCAGGTGTCCAGGCAATACAACTAACTGGACCAGTATCCTCCACTGAGTACCTGAATTCAGTATCAAAAAATCAATAAACACTTTATAATCCATTCAATAAACAAAGAAACAAATAGGCAGAGAAGAACCAGTGATAGCAAAAAATAACCAAAGTCAAGCTATTTAAGTTAAACAAAAAGCAATGCATGTGTCGACACATCTTAGCCTACTAAATTCGAGGTTAGATAATTTTATTTTTTCAGCAAATAATATCTTCAAATGAGATATACACCTGCTTTACTTCTTCAGTTCATTCCAAGAGACAAACTTGTGAGGCATACTACCTTGGCAGGCAAAAACACCGGCTGGTGCCAATAGAAATGAAGTGGTAGATGCGTTCTCAATCCAACTTCTTGGTGGAAAAAGTCAGAACTGACTTGACCACTTGCAGGGAACATATTAGCATTCGGAAATATGCTTAACATAGGTGAGGATAGAAAGCAAAACAACCTATCAGGAGATAGGACTAGGAAAGGACCACAAGTCTTTCTAGAGACCTAAATAGAAAATTTATTTTCTTCACCATTTCACACTTCCTAAGCTTTGATAGAGTGAAACAATTTAGCTAGACAGACAAATATTAACTCAAGTAAATCACTACGATAACATCTAATGTCATAAACGATAAAACCCTCGATAAGATATGGACCTACGACTAGGACGTTAAGTGGTGATGGCTTGAAAGGATGCCAACCTAAGATCTGCACAAATTAATGCACCATCAAAAACATGACGTTAGACCAAAATTTCAAACTCCATCATAGAGAAGTAAATCACTATGGCCACCCTTGTGACTTTGATTAATGAAAGATTGACAGACAACTGCTAAATTATGCAAACCACCAAAGCAAACCACCAGACAAAATTAAGTTCCATCAAGGAGTGGGGAATTCCTGTAATGTAGTCTATCCCATTTCTTCGCATTGGGGTAAAGTTTTCAATTACAAGTGTAATCATATGAGTTCCCTCAAGTCCTCGGGGTTTCAGGACCAACTTTGAGCATAAAGAAACCCTTAAGTCGTCATCCATTGCTGAGATAAATAGATTCTAAAAAGGAATTACATTCCCCAGACAATGTGTTATAACCATTATTACGTTTCGAATACATTTTTCTATCGCAGCTCAATGGTAATCACTACTGATGACAAAGAAGAAAACATGTACTAAAGAGCAAAATCAACAAGCCAATTGGTCTTCAACAGATTTCGTGGGTCTCACCCCCAGTCATATAAAGACAATGTTCGAAGGTGAGAAGCACTCTCTGATAAGTCATAGAGTTCCACAACTCCTCTTCTACAACCAACAGCCAGAACCTGTTGCTCGGATGCTATGGAGACACACACAGCGTCATCAATGGTCACCCATCTTTCAACTTTTATTGAGTCAGGCTGCTTCATTCCCTTTTTACTGACAGTGCACAGTGCAATATGACCATCAGAATGTAAAACACTAAGCAATCGCAATGGAAGTGACAGATCAATCTGGATAATGGCACTTCTGACGTGGTCATGGCCATCCACAGGCCCACCCGAATCTCTTCCAGAAAAATGTGCAGCGTCTGCAGAGTTTGGGAGATCACGATCTTCATAAGTGGCTTGAGGATAGCGACCAACTTCAAAGCTCTCACTGAACTGCATTAAATAACATAAAAATGAGAGAAATATCATTGCAAGCACGCCTCTAAAAGAGTTTCATGAGAAGACATTTCTAACAATGAAAATGGAAAACGAAATCACACATCCTTTTCTCATATTCTACAGTACCTCTCCTTTCCATGAGACAAGATTTAGAGATCCATTAGCAAGACCAAAAATTACGTTTTTGCTGTCACATGCAAAATTGCTCCTGAAGACAATAACACATGGAAGAGAATTATTTCAATGTTTAGAGAGAAGAATTGTATTCACACTATTCAAATTAGAATCCAGAAACTCCTAGGAAGAGAAAGGGAGACAGCCCAAGAGGAAGGAGAGAGGGTGTGTGAGTTCCTACGTCACCCTATTCCCGTCAGAAAAAGGTGTCCTCTCGCTGTGAACAAGAGCTATGCTAGCAAGGGACAGGCCACTGAGTTGTTTCCCTCCAAACAGCAGCTTCTTTCCAGAGAGCCGAACTTTATATATGTGGAGATACTCCAGAGAAGTCTGCAAGTGCATGGATAGAATGTGAGAATCCGATTTTACAAACGGGCATAAGAGATCTTGCATTCATAGCATACACATAATGGAGTTGATTTAAGTCCAACAAGAGGACCGAGCAGTATTACAGAAAAGAAAGAAGTGACGGATTCTGTGTAAGCCACTAGAATGTAAGGAGGGTTGAGGTTTGGACAGTGAACACGCAGCCAAATCCGAGGCAGAGTTGGCGTCCACTTACAAAGACACAAACAGTTTTAGTGTCAGAGCTCCATATGGCGTGCTGATTCTCCCCCTCCCCCTTGATGGAATCCGCATTCCTTGTGTACATTCCAAGTCTAACCCTGTGCTGCCGTATCATCCGCGTGAAAATCAGATCCAAAAAGTTCCCAGAGTCATTGAAAGGAATTGCAAATGTACTCAATGGAAGTGGCATCCGCGGAATCCACGACACCAATTAATCGCTCAGTAGTCTCTAGTGTCCAGGAGCACGACATAGGTGCTCAAGGACTTGTTCAAGTACATGCATACCTGGGAAGAACTCCAAAGCTCCAGATGCCCGGGAGTAACGACGAGCAGGATGTGGCCGGCCACCTTTATGTACACCACTCCGGCAAAGGAGAGGGAGGAAGACGAAGAGAAGGCATCCTGAGATTCCAACAATGGAATTGCCTGCGGCCATCCATACGCAATATACATCTTGAATCTTCACAGTGCTGGGTTCCACGATATGCTCAGCGGTAGTCTGAGCAGGCGTGGTGAGGCAAGCACGTAGACACTCGAAAAACCAGAGTGGATATTGATGAATGAGGTAAGGGAAAGAAAGAAAGCTACAATTTCACAAAAATGCCTTGACGAAGGTTTAGAAAAGAATCTGCACGTTCAATTCTCTGCTCCTCACAGAAAATCCCCTCTCCATCCGACCGCCCCCAACCCCGATCACCTATTCTCTTCGTCTCCCTGCACCCTCCGTCGCCCCTACCAGGTTCGCTGCCACCGGTCACTCATTTGAAAGTGCACCGTCCAAAAAGTGCCCAGCCAAAGCCTGTGCGCCTTTTTCTTCACTCTCCTCCGCACAGGAAGCGGCTGCAGTAATAATATCAGAAACACAGCCACCGCAATCACCAGAGGTCATCTCCTGCGCCACCAACATGACCTCTTCTTCCCTTCACCAGACCAAGCCCCTGTCCCCGCAGATCCGCCACTTCTACCCCGCTCACAGACTGTAGAGCCGGGATCACACTCTATCGAAGGAAGACCAGAGAAAGTACAGAAGGGGAGGAAGGAATCGAGAAGCAGGCGATTCCCCAAATTGGGGGGCAGGAAACAGTTGGTTGATCGCCATCGGAGGGAACGAGAAAAGGGGATGGGAGGGCTTTATATATGGCCGGATCTCAGATCGTCGCAGAAGTGAGGAGGGGCCTGATGATAATTTTCAACGAGGGGGCCGCATATTTTTAGAGTATATAAGGAAATATATGATAAGTGAGTTTTATAAAACATATTTAAACATTTAAGGGGATTATATAAAAATATGATACAGGATTCAGTGACAGTTTTTAGATCTAACGGTTAGGAGGGCGCTACGTTTTCTCTGACTGAGGATGGCTATTTAGCACCAGATCGAAGGGAGAGTCAGTGAGAAAATAGGTGGAGAGGAAGTAGAGACGGAGAGGAAGAAGAAAGAAATAGGGATGGCGATGAGTAGGGTGGCTTCCGTGGCGCTGGTGGCCCTGTGGTTCCTGGTGATTTTTACCGCTGTCACCCAGATCCAGGTAGATGCCTGTGGAAGCACGCTTCTCCTACATCCCCTTCCTTGCGGTTTATCTGGCGTGTGATGTTATATTTTCTCTAGTGTCAGTTTTTCACTGGATGGATCGACTGTTATGCTTTATGGGTTATCTTCCGATCTTGATTCCCCCTGTCTAGCCTGTATGCCCTATCCTCTTCCGATCATGGTCTCCCCTTTCGGGTCTCTTGATCCGCTGCTTTCCTTGTCGCCTGCACCCGATGCTTCACCCTGCGACCCTTTGTCCGTATCCTCGTGGGTGATTCGCCTGTCCACTACCAGAATTGGCGGGGAGACGCCGGTATTTCATCGACCTCGACTGAAGTTTCCGTGGATTTAGAAGACGATCAGGTGAGGTTGCAGATTGGTTGTAAACGACAGTCGTATCCCGGTCTAATGGAATCGTTTTTCTTACTATACTCACACCGCGAGTTCTTCATCTTCTTGATATTGTCGTCATCATCGTCCCTCCGATGATGCATACTTCGTTTGTGATTAAGGCATTTGATATTCACGCCTCTCCCAAATTTCTTTTTTTCTAAAATTTCCTAATGTGAGCCTTGTTTTACTGATTCACAAAGAATTTTAATCATATTTCTCATTTTGCGATTTGCTCTGTGGAACTCGTATCATTAGCAATGTACAGTTCGATGCTCAAGATTTTTTACTTCAATTTTTTTAGGTAGGCGTCAAGTGACTGATATTTATGTCCATTCTCGCAACATATTTCAATTCCTTCCACAAAAATTAGGCCTGTACTGGAGGATAACTTCATGTAAACTTTCTGCTATTCACACGTTAGGTAGTTATCAAGCATCTTGTGACAGAAACAGTGGGCCACTACCTTTTATCATATATTATTTCTCACATACACCGAGCTCCACAACCTTGTGTTAGCGTAGTCTCCCACCTAAATAGATTTGGTTTCTTACTTCAAAAGAATATGCTTGGAAGGAAAGTCTGGTGCCAGCATTGCAGCAGGCCATCAAGTCGAGTTCTAGAGATGGTTTTTGAAATCCCAACAGTTTAAAATCGTGCTTCTAGATATTTCAAATATTTAACAAATGTGTAGTTGCTTGGAGTTCTTATAAAATGGCGTGCCCAGAAACCTTAAAAGAAGCTTTAGACTTGCGTGACATTCAGTTTTGACATGGATACGTAACAACGTGACTAGTTTTTAGCTGCAACTAGCATAATATGGGAATGTCATTGGCTAAACCAGCATTCTGCATGAACATTAGACCAATGAATTACATATTGATGTTACTGAAAAAAACGATCTGATTTTTGAAAGGAAAGTTTTATTTTCTGTGCTTACTGAGGAAATCTCTAGTCAAAGATGATTGTATTAATACCACTGAAGACAAGCAGTCTCACTGCATAATGAACAAGTTTTTACTTATCCTTATTGGTTCTCTTAATATTTTTCTTTTACTTTTAGAAGAGTGATAATGCTAATTCAAATGGAATCTGAATCTCAGGATGGGTCTGAAATAAAAGAACAATAAACGCTATAGAAGAATAAAAATTAGCCATCTGGTAGCTATTCAATTGATCACCGACCTATTCCATGGGTTCTGCTTTAAGGCATATATCTTATGGTCTTTCTTATGAAGTAGCTACTTGTTTCCCGCGTTCAAGAAAGCATTCTTCAAACCTCTTTGCCCTATTTTTTCCCAGAGCCTTTGGTCTATTAATCTTGGAGCTTTCATCGGGATTTATTAAAAGTGTATAGTTGGTTAACCTTATTTATCTTATCTGCATGATCCGCTGCTGTTACTTTATTCTGCCTGTTTCATTGTTGCGTCCTATCTTTTGCACGATGAATGCCCTGCTGTTTCAATGCCTGGTTTCATCTCAACTTGACATGTATTTCAGGCAAAGGAAAAGGAGAATTTGAGTCAAGTAACTCATAAAGTTTATTTCGACATAGAGATTGATGGAAAGCCTGCTGGTATGCACATGCATTCAAAGCCCTTTTTTTCATTTTAAGCAAACCATGGTCGACAGCACTTACAAACTTGTTGCGTTACTATTATTTCAGACAAAAAATCTTGTTGCTTTACCGTTATTTTCATTAGATTTGGACTTTTATACATCTCTTTTTGTATCCTCCTTTTTCACTTATGTCAGTCTTTTATATCATGCGCATATATTTCGAGTTATTTAGAAGAAAAAAAAAATATGGTACCCTGCATGTTGCTTGTAATGCAGATGCCTCTTTGGATGCCATTTATACTTTCTGGTTTAATTTAATATTTGTGCCTGGGCGTTCATGTGTTTTCATTCTTTTTGGAAACGAAATATTGACAGGACCCCATGAAACCTATTTGAACTGTCGTTCTTTTTTATTATAACTAAGAGTTGTACATGTGATTCATTAAACTGCTCTTGTGGAGTATAAATAAGGTTATCTATCCACATTTAACCACATATCCCCTCTAGAATACGTTCATTCATCTTCATTATCGCCTGTTATCAGATTTTTTTCTCACATTTGTGGACATGCATGTGATAACCATAGTCGCATCATTATTTCTTATAATTATGAAGTAAGAAGTTCGTTATTTATCACAGGTACTATAGAAAAAATAACATTATTTATGATTGTTACTACATCTTAACCCGTCTTTATTTCTTTCTGGTTGTAACTAAACTTCTAAATTTCGTATTAATCCTCATTAGGTTTCGGATTCTTTCACTTTAACTTATTAGCATTTTTTTTGAAGTAGAGTTGTGCTCGATTATGATTAAACTGCAGTTATAGCTGAACTAGATAATCTGATTGATTTTAGGTCGCATTACCGTGGGTCTGTTCGGAAAAACTGTTCCGAAAACTGCAGGTACCCAAACGTTCCTTCCCATAAAATGTAGCCACTATTTGGAACTCATGGAAATAGTTTTAATTTCTTCTTGTTCTAATCGATGTGCTTCTTTTCATTTCGCAGAGAACTTCCGAGCCTTATGTACAGGTATATCTAAAATCTTTGTGTACTGCTGTGTGGTGACCTATTCTGAAACTTGACAACTTGTTTACACAACTACCTGTACATTTTCTTTCTTATGGTAGAAGATTCCCCAACTATGTTGATTGTATTATCCAAATCTGCACAGAATTAGACAGGTGCAATGTTGACCAAGATGGGATAAAATTTGCCAAAGGGAGAAGTTCGCTGTTGGTTCTCATGAAAAGAAGGAAGAAAAATAGAAAATATTAATAAAAAGGGCTAAGACTACAAGGAATAGACTTCTTACCGAAAAAACCACCAGTCTTGATCTCATTCCCACATTCTCTGTAACCGCTGTGGCACCCACCCTGGGAAGAGGAGGAAGTGTGATTGCCTGCATCAGATGGTGACGGAGATGGAGGGTGAAATCAGTCAACTTGCAGCCTAACCAACCCCCTTTCTCTCCACCCAATTTTGTACTGCCTGTGTTCATCCAAATGGGTAGACACGACCCATCTTTATTGGGCCTGAGCTAGGTACTCCAATTATGTCTGCACTGAGTACTCCATGTGGGGACATAGGTTCTCTTTCCTATTGATTACTCTTTTGGTTCAATTTGGATGTCTATCTTGAAGTTTTCCGCCATCACTTTGGACTTCGAATTCTGATTTTTCTTTCACAAACTTACCATTTTCGATTCTTATTTTATATTTTAAAAAATTATATCATTCATCTAATGATAGTTTCTTGCATTTCCCATCATCTCGTCCCCTTGGATGATTGATTCACTAATCTCTCTATGATACACACAATAAGGAGATGGTGTGATTCCTTCCTTGAGCCAGTAGGCCTTCGTCCATTCCTTTTAAAGTACTGTAACTCCTGTAGGTGAGAAGGGTGTCGGCAAGAGCGGGAAAGCCCTGCATTTCAAGGGCAGCTCATTCCACAGGATCATCCCCAGCTTCATGATCCAAGGAGGTGACTTCACTCGTGGGGATGGAACTGGCGGAGAATCTATCTACGGCCTCAAATTCTCTGACGAGAACTTCAAAATCAAGCACACGGGCCCTGGTAATTTGCCAATCTTCACCATCAAATCCGTCAAACCTCTCTCTCTCTCTCTCTCTCTCTCTCTCTCTCTCTCTCTCTCTCTCTCTCTCTCTCTCTCTCTCTCTCTCTCTATCTATCTATCTATCTATCTATCTATCTATCTATCTATCTATCTATCTATCTATCTATATATATATATATATATATATGTATTTCGTGTGATGCTCGTCAAGCAGTGATCCATCCATCAAACTTCCCTCTCTTCAACCATGTTCATTAGAAAAAAAAAGCCCAACGTTCTGCAATAAAATATGAATATCTGGGGATCTTTTCTCTTGGAACAGGGATTCTCTCAATGGCCAACGCCGGCCCGGACACCAATGGATCGCAGTTCTTCATCACCACTGTCACAACCAGCTGGTAATGACCGGCCCCACCTTGCCCGCCTCTGTTTTCTCTTGTGGAACTCCTCGTGACATGATCTTTGGCAGGTTGGATGGCCGCCATGTCGTCTTCGGCAAGGTGCTGTCCGGGATGGACGTGGTGTACAAGGTTGAGGCGGAGGGACGGCAGAGTGGAACCCCGAAGAGCAAAGTGGTGATTGCCGACAGCGGGGAGCTGCCTCTGTGAACCCTCCTCTGTTACTACCACCAGTTTAATTTAGGAATGAGGTGAGGAACGACGACTACTGCTTGATGTTCTATCTTAACATTACCGTTATCTACGTTGGTCAACTGTGAGAGAAAACTCCTCTTGCCCACTTTGCCCAATTACCAGTTCTGGGCTTGGAGGATCTGCTTTTGGAACTTATTGGGGCGTTGACTCTTGGGTCAGTGAGGGAGTCTTATCAAAACCTGCCCACCTGCTTCGAATCTGATTGGGCGGTTGCTGAGTCGAAGTTGGGTCTTACCGGTTGTCAGGCTCTTGGATAAGTGGGCCCAAATTGACGCAATTCACATCGCCTTGATGGACGTCCGGCTGTTCAATTCACATGGGCTTTGACTTTCAGGTTTAGCATCGAACGCAGCCAACCCTAGTCTTCTAATCGGCCCGGGCCCGGCCCGCCCCTCTCAACTTCCCTCCAGGAAGAAGGCCACACCGTCTAGGAACAACACCATCAGGTTCCCAGATTTATTGGAGAGAGAAGACCTGGTTTCATCAGCCATGGAGGAGGATACATTTACTTGGCTCTCTTGTAAAAGATAAGGCAGAAGCTCAGGGCAATGGCGGCGGCAATGGTGGCACCAAGAGCACCCTGAACGTATAACCGGCGGGCTGGGCCTGGTGGGGTGAAACCCAGCTCGGAGAGCTTCTTGTGCGACTCGGCGTAGTCCCTGAAGAATGCTTCCTCGTCCTGCCAAACCCAAGTGACGGTAAGTCAATTAGAATATATCTAAAAGCTAACAAAAATGGTGGGGGGAAAGGTTGACCACTATTACTAGTGATGTCAACGGACGAAGGGATATCTAATCCCGGTCCTTTTGGGGCCTCAAAGTCAACCCCATAGGAGAAAATTCGGCCATTATTTCTGATGATCAACGTTAATTAAGAATACCTTGGAATAGAGGTCCACATAGTGCCGGAGTGCGGGGTCTGCAACCAGGGCTTTGTCGGTGGGCAGCTTCAGCAGTTCCTCCTTTTCACCGGCCACCAGGTTTCTAGAAGAGCCCAGAGAGTCAGAGCTGACTTATCATGCGAGTGGAGAGGGAGATGGAGTTGACTTTGGATGAGCTCACAAGAAGTAGGAGTTGTCAAACTTGAGAGGGTCCTCCGTCCACTTGCCCTCAAAGCTGGACCTCTCTCGGTGCGCCTGCCCCTGTTGAAGTGTCGTCTTCAAAAAATGTTTCCAATTTTGGAAAATTATTTCTATATTTAAATTTATTTCTAAATTATTTACATTTATGGTGTCAAATTTATCAAAAAACCCTCATTTTAATGAGATATTATGTTATCACCAGTGTGTGCCCGCCGGAGAGCGCCACAATGTCCTTGTCGGAGAGCCCCATGCGACCGAAGACCTCCCTCAAGTGGGCCGCGCCTGCAATAATGGGCTCATCGGTGACCCGTGAGTGTAGTGAACGGACATAGCCCAATAGCATGATGGGCCGTGGTGCTCTCAGGGTTATCGATCACGCGAGGTGATGAGAGAGAAAAGTATATTATCATAAATTCATAAATTTGCTCAGAGGGAATGGAGGTAAATAAACCTCGTGTAGCATCAGGAAGTCTTCCTTCTTCAGGGGAGCTCGACGAGTCCTGAGAGAGAAGGGAGGGGACGGGGGTAGTTGCTGCTATCATTGTGTAGAAGTCAACTGAAGAAGAGCGGAGCCCTTACCGGTCTGCCAGGAATAAAGTCAACGGTGGGTCCCCCGGTGATCTCGACTGCAACAACGCCGGCGAGCTGACGAGGAAGATCGGGTCAGCCTGAGACGGCCTTTTTCATATGAAAATCCTAAAAATAGCAATAAACAATGGAAAAGACCTGGAAAAGGTCAGCGTGGGATATTCTTGGGCACTTGGCACTCACTGACTCTGGGGAAGAACAGGGGAGATCGAAGGGAGTTAGGAATGCAGCCCATGAAAAAGGAGTAATATTTCATGCGGCGGTGGAGCTCACCGCACAAGTCAACGGCTGTCTTCAGGCCGGAGTTAGCGGCGTGGTTGAGCTCAGCCTCGTTTCTAATGGAGCCGTTGGGGCCGCCGGTGCCCGTTCTGAGGTCGTAGGTGCCGGCATCGTGCCATCTGAGAGAGGAGGCACCCGCGGACATGTGGGCAGCAGGGGGCGAAACAGAGAGAGAGAGAGAGAGAGAGTGGAGGGAGACTCACGCGAGGCGAAGCATGAGGGGAGCACACTTCTCGCGGGAGATGAGAACGCGGAGCTCCCTCCGGGCCTTCTCGATCTCCTTGCGGTACTCCGCATCCACCACCGGGTTCGCCATTGGACTGGAAGGGGAGGAAGAGAGAGAGGCAGAGAGCCAGGGGTATGAGAGGGACCTCCCCAGCTCGTCCTCCATCTCTTTATACGAAAGCCCATCAGCAGGTAGGAGGGCGCAAGGAAAGAAAAGGATCACTTTCCTCACAGGGAGAGGGCGCGGAGAGGTATCATCGTTAGGGAAAACGTGCAAGAAAACACGACTCATTAGCTGAATACTGGGAATACCGGCTCTCTCTCCCCCCCACTCTGTCTGTCTGTCTCTCTCTCTCTCTCTCTCTCTCTCTCTCTCTCTCTCTCTCTCTCTCTCTCTCTCTCTCTCTCTCTCTCTCTCTCTCTCTCTCTCTCTCTCTCTCTCTCTCTCTCTCTCTCTCTCTCTCTCTCTCTGTCTCTCCCTCCCTCTCTCTCTCTCTCTCTCTCTCTCTCTCTCTCTCTCTCTCTCTGTGTCTCTCCCTCTCCTCTCTATCTCTCCCCCTTTCTCTCTCTCTCTCTCTCTCTGTCTCTGCCTCCTCTCTCTCTCGCTCTCTCTCTCTCTCTCTCTCTCTTCCCCTCTCTTCCTCTCTCTCCCCCTCTCCCTCTCCCTCTCTCTCTCTCTCTCTCTCTCTCTCTCTCTCTCCCCCTCTCCCTCCCTCTCCTAAAAGTAAGGGTTGACCAAGCCATCCTTGCCAGATCTGAGAAATCTGATCTAGATTCATCGCCCCTTTTTCTCTTCTCAGTCCATGACCTCTCATTTTCTTGGCCTCTCTATCTATCCTTCATTAGAATGAGCATTAATCAGTAAACCTAAATTTCTTGAGGAGATGACTTGACTCACTACTATTTACGAGTATTTTACAATTCAGATTAAACATAACTTATGATATTTTTGATTGAATAAATTAATGACTAATAACACCTATAGAAAATCATACTCATCAAATGGCATCGTTGCCAAAGAATTTTGAGTGCTAAATGATTCTATGCATGTTGTTTACAATGAAAATATTTATAGTTTCTTGAGTTTTATCTTACATAAGACAAGGTGACGTGGATATTAATCAACTACTTAGAGAGATTTTAATGAACAAGGTAAGTGAGATTTGAAGTATTTTGTCGCAAATATATCAAGTAAATTTTCAACGAATTTTAGAGAAATTGACTTGATTAATATCCATTGAATCGTGTCGTTTACCTTTCTTTGTTGAATATGGTAAGTTTATTTCAGCAAAATCAACCTTGAGATAATAGCCTCTTAAGAGTATTAAAATGATTTCATATAATTTCTTTTAATACATTGAATTAAATACATTTGAAATTTCAATTGTTCTCTTTATCTTAGTAAAAGGTGAATTGCTCAAAATAGTTAAAGCATGTGCTTGCAAATATTGAAAGTCTAATGTGCAGGACTGATTAAATATATTAATCTATGAACATATTTGAAATTAATTTCCTAACCTCTATTTTGTGTTGTGACTTCTATTAATAGTCATATTGAATAGCTATTGAGAGAATATAAGGCATGAGAAACCTTAAGTAGAAAAATTAGCTTCAGAATGAGTAAAAATCTCGAAACTCAATTATAAATCTTGACTTGTTTTTCTGAATTACATGATTTTTCTGAAACTTTGATCAATCATAATTGTTGTATATCCGTGAAATAATTGGCTGAAATTCTGATAATTAGTTTTGGTGAGTAAGATCTTGTATTGGCTATTTGTTTTAAACAACTAACAAGTTCTGATTTTTTTTCAAAGAATCAAAGTGGAGACCTTAAAAATAAGGACATAGATAGTAGTTTACAAGTTAACTATTTATTGTGTATGATCAATATATACAAAAATTGCTTGTCATTTCTCTGTTCATATTCCTTGTTAAAGATTAACTCTATTTTCTAAAAATAGTTAATTTTGAATATTTCCATGCAATTTTATTCATTGTGGTCACTGAGAACTTTATACAGGTCTTGTTAGTTAAAATATATAGGACTGTCATAATTACAAGTATATAGATTAATAACATATTAACATAACTCCAAAATTTGGATTAGAACAAATTAACATAACTCCAGAGTAAGATAGGCTATCAAAAAATTAAAACACATGCGCTCCAAAACCAATTTATTAGAGATTTTTTCGAATAAAATTCAGTCTAAAACTATATGAGATATCCATAAGTGAATCACCAACGGCTACATTTGATATCTAACTCCACTACAGCGCCCAATGTCCGAACTAGAGAAAGCTCAGTCACCTCCACGACTGAGGTTTTCCCTTCCAGAAGCTCATTGTTTGCCTGCCGCGAGCTCGTCCAGGGGAATCCGGCTGATGTAGCTCTTCACTAGGGAGCCGTAGTACAGATGTCTTCCTACCCTGAGGCCGCCGGTTAAGAGCGACAGCTCCCGGTCTGTGTACAGCGCCAGCGGCTCTCCCTCCGAGCTCACGGACAGAACCCCGGCACCCTTCAGCATATGGTGGGGAAGATCCGCGAACTCCAATGAGACTACGGCCATCTTTCTCAGCATCGGATACCGAAACATGAGGTCCCAGCCCTTGCCATTCCCCTGAGAGTAGACAGTCAGTCGACGATCAGATCAGAGCTGGCTATGGCCGGAGTCGACGAGTTCGCCGGAGGAGAGCTGTGAGGAACAGAGGAAGGGCCTCGTTACCGCAGCGAGACCGATCCAGAAACGCCCCTCGTCGTCGTATCGGATGTTGTCTGGAAACCCGGGCAAGCTGTCGACGAAGTGATCCACCGCTCCCTTCTTCTCTCCGCGGACGTGGTACCTTCTGCACCTCCTCCTGCCAGGGAGAAGTTCGAGGATGAGTACGATAGATGGACTGTGGGGACGAGGAAACAACCGAACGGATGAACTCTACGGTTTCGTAGGCAGTTTATGTCAAAAACGGCTCTCCCACCGCGATAAAACTTACAAGGGAGTCTCGCAGAAGATCACCGAGCTTTGATCTGGCGACATGGCGACGCCGTTGGCGAAGTAGAGCCCGCTGAGGAGCACCTCCGTGCGGGCGGTGGCGGGGTCGAAGCTCATCAGCCGCCCGTGTGGCCGGCCCTCAATGATATCCAGCATGTGGGTCGCGAGGTTATACTTGTAGGATGCATCGGTGAAGTAGACTGTCCCATCTGAGGCGACGTCTACGCCGTCCGCCACACCAAATCTCAAACCATCGGCCTCCTCCGCCAGTAGGCGGACCGCCCTGTCCTCGCCGACGCTCACCAGCCCCTGTAATCGCCAATCATAGCAAGGTTAACCTATATAAAATATAATACTAGAAAACATCATCTTCGTACAATATTGTAACATAAAAGCGTATGATATGATGACGACATTATAAGTTAGAGAAAACCCATTAACAAATTATGCCATCAATGGTTTGCCCATGAGGGAAAGTAGAGATTTCCTAATTTCTTGGACGGGCCTGGTGACGTTGAAAAACCGGCGCCGACATGACCGCCGACGTTAGAGTTAAAAAACTATTATTCAATGGCATTTACTACTCCGATATGGCAGAAATGACTGAAATATAAAACTTTCCCATCATACGAATACCTATGAAATTTTAATTATTAACTATTATTATGAATAGTTTATTACTATTAAAGTCAAAACAATAGATATTCACATTAGATTAAAGTCAAAAGCATAGGTAGACGGAGATTCTAGTAAGATGACATGATCTCGTTAGAGGGTTAAATCCAGATGAGATGTTCACATTAGAGGGTTAAATCCAGAGTAAATCCATGCAGATAAAGCATCTTACAATCTTCGAGTATGAATTTCTAAGAATCCTTCGAAATACGCGCCATCACTGCTTCGGAAATGAAGGAATCGAGTCGTGTACCTTGTAAGCCGAGGCGACGAGAAGCTGCCTGTCGGGGCCGAAGGCAATTCCCAGCGGCCGCCCTCCGACATACGCCCAATCCTCTACAACCTCCTTCGCCGTCTCCCCTTCCTTCCGCAGCTTAATCCGCCTGACCCACCCGTCGACGCAACTCGTGTAGAGGAATCCGGAGGCGGCGTCGTAGGCCAGGTCCTCCGGACCCGGCAAGAGCCCTTCTCCGACCTTCTCCGACGCCTTGAGGATGCCGCTGTGAATCTCCGGCACGGAGATGGTCTGATCGCTGTAGTCCCCAGGGAGCGGGGCCGGCTCAAGATCCTCCGACCAGTAGAGAGCGACGAGGACAGAGGCGGCGGCGGCGACCAGCGCGGCGAGGACGAACCCGAGGACCGTCGGCTTCGTCATGGCTGGAAACGATTCTTTCGGGGACGATACAAACGGCAAGGATCTCTCTGGTAGGTCTGTGGATAATATCAACCTCCCCAGGAGGAGAAGGTCAGACTTAACAACCCTCAGCAACCGCCAAGAGCCCTGCACCTGCGTTGTCAATCTCTCGGTGTCCCACTGGAACCTCCAGAGAGACGCGTAGGTGTCAACAAGGATCTCTCTCTCTCTCTCACACACACACACATACTCTCTCTCTCACTCTCTTCAGAGCCCCATCCAGCTCATTCTGGTCCAAACTTCAGTAATTCAGAACCGAATTTCCAAAGTCTATTTCACATGGCATCTCTCTCTCTCTCTCTCTCTGTGTCTCTCTCTCTCTATCTCTACCGAGAAGAACATTTGCGCACCAATAATTAGCAACAGCACGTCGGCTTAAAAATAATTTACATCCGACTTGAACAAAAAGCCGCCGCAGAAGGGGAAGGTCAGACTATACAGGCGGGTGAGGATGAGGATGATAAGCATGAAATCACACACCCCATGACCAAAAAAAATAAACCTTGATTTGGAAGGGGCATTACCATTCTTGGATGTCATCCTCCTCCTCCTCACCCCCATCCAACGCGACGCCTCCCCCGGGGCCATCCGGCCGCACCAGCCCCAGCCATCTCGCCATGGGCTTGTGTTCAGCAGCCAGCTCTCCTATACTGACCAGAGTCTGCAAGCCGCAGTGGGCTTGAAGCTCAAACCTCTCCGACGCCATGAGAGCCTGCGAGCTCCACACCAAAGGAATGATAATTACAGTCCGAATCTAGGGTTCTACGGCGGAGAAGAAGACGGGTGGGACCACCTTGTTGCGCCTGGATGACTGCTCAACCTCCCAAAGTCTGGGGCGCCGAATCGAATGCCACCTAGAGGAAAGGAGACAAATCATTACCAGAGAGATCTGAATGAGCAGGGTGGGGGTGGAGATTGTTACCTGGACGTTGAAGGCTGTGAGTTTCCGAACAAAACACCCCGGACGGAAACACAGGTAGCAGCAGACTGCGAGAGGGCTTCAGGCCCATGGCTTCCCTTCACCATCTGAGCCCGCGCTGGGGAGAAAGAGGCGGAGAGGAGACGGTCGGCGTCGCTGAGGTAGGAGGCTATGATCCAGGCATCGTCCGCTGCTTCATCGCTCAAGAAATCAAGCACTGAGAGTAGCAGACAAGACATATCAGTGCTAGGATATGAAGCCATCGTTAGGTTTCTCATGAATATGGAATGATGATGAGGGGTGACAAGATGGATTTTGTCTGCGGTCAAGTATGGGAGCTTATTGAGGAAGTGGGGAATCATAAAGATCAAACCAAACCCAGTTGTTAGTTGTTCTGAGTTTGATTGATCCAGCTACCACATATGGAATGCATAGTGGAAGCTGATTGGATCACACATAAACTGGTTTAGAATATTAGCCAGATCGGAAAGAGCAAAGACTTGAATCCATCCAACTCAATCTCATATCACAAAGTCGCAGCCAGGTTACAAGATTCTAATCGGATCAGTGTAACTGTGATGGAACTAGATCAAGTTGGGTCAGAAAAAAGGGGAGAAGAGCGTCCTAACTCTAAATTTTTCCTCCCAGACTCCCAAGCCACTTCGATTGGATGCAACCAAGGTGAGAGATTAAAAAAATCCCATTTTTTTTATAAGAAAACCATTGTTTATGCTTGATTGGAGACTCGTACAAAGTTTAGGAATAACCGAGTTCTTGAAAGAAATGATTCATGTGATTGCAACATTGGACAAGTGATGAAGGCAATCATCTGAATCTTCTTTGTTTATGTTTGCATTATTTTGGTTATGTCACCGGACACACAAAACATATCGCTAGCTAAGATCCAGGATCAAGGAAAATACTGCTCAAAGCATACCAAAAATAGAAATGCAAGACAATGATAGTATGATTACCATTCTCATGGAGAAAATCGACGACTGGCCTTGCTTGAGCATGAGCTTGGCTAAGGATATCTTCTGGAGCATCCATTTTAAGTGGAAGTCTCATAAGCCCGTCCTTCAGGACACCCTTTTGCATTCCTGAATCATATTACAACATACCATAAAAGGATGAAGAGAAAATATAATGTCAAAGTATATCGGTTACTGCTGGATAATTGTCTTTATTTTTATTCATGTTTGGTTCCATCTGATGTCCAGAGAGGAGAGTTTTTTTTACGAACGAGAAGCTGCACCCTTCAAGTGATAGGCAGATATTATGCAATTACTCGCCTTAGGCAGTCATAGGCAGTTGCTCAAAACGGATCTTCCCAAGTTGTAAGACCAAAAAACCCACCAACATGAGTGGGACTCTACTTGGCCCGGAATTTCAGTTCCTACCTGAAAAGTTTCATGGTATCAGAGAAGTTGATAAAGATCGACTCCCCCTGGGGTAATTCCAAATTATATTTTTCCTTTCAGTCTCCCCCTAGGCTTATAAGCTTCCTTTGGTCATAATATGTCATTCCTCATATTATCTTTCTTTTATGTACTCAATCATCTCTTTCCACATCCATAAAGCCATATTTCTTCATCATGTCGTTCATCAGGGAGTTCAATGACCCTACGGGGTTCAATGTTCCTGAGGTTAATCTCAGAATCTTAACAAAAATCTGTGTTAATCGGATGGCTGCGGTCAGACATGATTTCTGATAACCATAAGGCCCATCAAATCTCATACTATGTCCTGCGACCCCAAAGGAACAAAAACTTTAAACACAGAAGTTTGAGAATTACATCCATCTTTCCCTACAGCATTATCTTGGACCTGTAAGTTAGGGTGATGCCAATTTACAAAAGCAGTAAACGCAAGATATTGTAAGTCATCCATGCATCATAGACTCAGACAGCAATGGATAGTGCAACTAGCAAAGGATGCCACCCTTGCATCACGCAATGCCAAATAGATAAGGAAATGGATCAGAATATACCCAGGGAAGATGGATCTCCATTCACCCTCTTGTTGTGCAGAAATTTTCCCAAGGCGTGAAACATAGTGAGTGTCTCGTCTCTACCAAATGGTATGTTAACTCCTCCACTTGAACCATAGTCTATGTCAATGACTAGAGACGACAAGGCAGTAAGATCTGAATTTCCATCAAGATGGGCAACCGATTCCTTTGATTTAGGACTGAAAAGAAATTGCTCCGGCCTAAGACAAAAGTATTGCAATGATGTTATTGCATGCCGGATGTCACCCTGACTCAATCTCGCAATCTGATTCAAGACTACTTCAGGCACATTATACCCCTCTTTTTGGCATATAAGGGAAAGAGTTTTTTTGATCGAATTAACTGTAAGAGGATTGAAACACACCTGTGACACAGAACAATTCAAGTAAGTTATAATTAAGTTCAGCATCTGGGATAAACTTATTCAGACAAATATTACCTTGTATGCTCCAGCTCTCTCCAGGGATGACACTAGTTCCTCCATATATCCTCTAACGTCACTAGAATCGTCCTTAGAATATTCTGTTACCAAAATAACTGTTGGAACTTGAGTTGAACAGACCAGAACGCGTAAGCACTCACATAATCTTCCATGAGCAACTTTTCCATTCGTCACAGGAAGATCATCAATTAACATAATAATAGGTTTTCTCAATCCATTTACATAAGTTGATGGAAACACAGGATACTTTCTCACGGTATCCACAAATGTCTCGAACTCATCCAGTTTTGACATGTAGCTCACACCTATTCACATAAAATAACGCAACACAAAATCACATGATATGAAAATAGCCACAGAACTTGGGCCGATTTGCCAAGTGACCAGAGGAGGAAAAACCGAAAAAGAAACAAAACCTGAATTAGAGTTGTGCATGTGCTCTTTCCAGAGAGTTGGTGTGGGAGTCTTCCATTCACACAGTTCAGCTTCAAGTTGTGAACTGATAACATGGATGACAGCCTGCAATGGATGTAAGAGCTTTCATGAATAGAAAATAAATGATATGAACTATTCTTACATGCGCAAGCTATACCTTCCCAAAATGTCATGGTCCATCATCACTGTCAATGGTCATCTACCAAATGAGTGGACGGGTGTATAATAAAAAAGTAAAGAGAAAACTTCTTCCACAAAACTCCTTGCACCATCCTAGCTTAATGCATAAAATGATTTGGGTGAGATGAAGAAAATAGAGACTTGGAAATACTCTCAAGCGAGTTTCTGAGAAAGCATTCAAGGTTGATTCATCACATATAGAATAAAGACTTAAAGAGTTAATAAGATGATGTTGTCCAACATTTGACTATCAGATGATATCACATGCACAAAACAAAACGGCGAACCTTCAGAACAAATAATCTTAAAAACAGCAACTATTAAGATATACACTAACAGTGAAGAGGCATTTACTGGAAATTATTTATATATCAAAGAAAATTGTTGCTTACCCATCGAACAACCAACACACAAGTTAGGATACCAAGGAAACATTATTAACGAAATAAAATGCTACAATGTATAACACCAAACGTACCGATTTCCCAACTCCAGCTTGTCCAGTTATGAGAAGAGTATAATTGTGCATACCTTCCTGTAAATAAAGTATAAGACTTGGTTAAGCATACGACCTATAAGAAAATTGAGGGCCTTTATTCGGACACAACAAAAAAAAGATAACTAGGAGAAAACTATTGGAAATTGTGATATAAAGGAACCAACAAACAGTTGTCAGACGAAATAACGCAAAACAACATGTACTTCGCAGTCAATCTAACATCTAGAAACATAAGGAGAAATTATTGTTCATCAGTCTCGGTTAAACATTGCTCACAAGTTAACGGTTCCCGGAAGAGCCATTGCGTTAATCGCATGTTTTCATTGTTTACAGTGTTCAACCTTCAACATCATCGAAAAGTGCATCATAACTTATGTGGATAAAGTAAACAATGATGACTAGACAGCAGAGTGTTAATAATCCCAAGTCCTGGCCAGAAGCTGACGACCTATGGAAGTATGATCATGGAAGAAGAGAAAAGGGAACAAAAAACAAGTGATAGGATTATTTACATTAAGGTTCAAAAGTTAACTTCAAAGAAATATATCAAGAACAGTACGACATTGGTTACCAAAATAGTACCCAATAATTTCAACAAAAAAGATTACATGAAAACATATTAATTTAACGTATATCTGTTAAATATACAGAAGAAACTATGGTAGAAGCGTCAGTTCAGAGGAGAAGGAACAAAAATCCCAAGCAATCCCAGTTGAGGCAAAAGATTTTGAGGAATTTATCATTCAGGTTTGACAAACAAGATCTTACTTCAAAGGCTCTAAACGGTCATAAAATAATGCGCTTACAGTTATGAATTAATTTATAGAAGAAATTAATGCTTACAATCAACCAGACTAAAAATTACCTTTGGTGCATTTATTCTCTCTTCCAGCCAGACTCGCACTTCCTCTACCTGGGATACAAAAAAAATGGCATAAATCAGAAGAAAAATACAACTACAATTAAGGCAAGCACATAAAGTACATAAAAGAAAATGAAACTTTATGCAAGAGAATATACGTAGACATTTACTATGCAGGCCCTGTTTGGATAACCAATGTTGCCATTCAGGGCCACCATTAAACATAAGCGGCTTATAGCACAGATGCTCAGTCCAATCGACGAATCTCTCTCATTATATAGGTGAAAAAGAATTTTGGAAAACTTTCAAGTGTAACTCGCAAATCCCAGTGTACAATGCATCGAAATAGATAAAGAATGTGTGTTTGTGTTTATCCATGACCAAGAAGACTGATTCAACTTGGAATCTGATCATTCATAACAGATATCACGAAAATGCATGCAGCCATACAAAAAAGTTCAAGATTTTCCCGGTTCAACATCACAAAAGCAGACAAGGATTTTAATATTTTGTGCGACCCTGAGCAAAGGATACACAGGATAGCAAACGAGAAAGGCAAGGTAACTTCAAAGACTGATAACCTTCTTTTTATACACAGCAAGCTCTGCAATGGAACGCGGTCTATGCTTGTCGACCCACAGCTCATTCATACCTGCACTATCAGAAGCTGATTTACATTTTCCTACACTTCCCACAGCATAGACTAGGAGTAAAGCAGTCACACAAACATGATGGTAGGATACAAGAAACAATTGAGCATCATAATGAAATCCCAGAAGAAACCCAGGTTTTGTGATTAGAAATAATAATCAGGCAAACCAAAGTTTTAAAAAAATCCCCAAAACAATAAAATGAGCCAAGCTAAAAATTGCACATATCCATAAATTCGTTATTTTTTTGCTGTTTTCTTCCACGCTAATGCTTCTCAAAATAAAACCTTTGAAATTAATGTTATTGATGGAATAGTTGATGAAAAAAGCATCAAAGGGAAACACCCTAATTACATACCTGATGCCTCACAATGTTGATTTTCTAGGTATGAATTTGTTAACATACTGTAAGGTTTTTCTCACATTGAGAGTCACCGGAAGAGCAAGGCAGTTCTAGTTTAGACAGGCCAATGAGTACACGTGCTCACGTTCGATTTTTTAAAGATTCACACGGTATTTTTAAGCAGAACGCATTCGTACTGTGTGCAACTTCCTTCAGAAAATCCCTGTCAGGGCATGATATCCATCGCATCAATAAAGCATGATACCAGCGAGTACAGAATTTTTTTATAAAGTTTCATTTTTCAGATTTGAGGCAGAAATGTAGGATAACACTTGCTTAATCAAAGATACAAAACCAAGATGGATACGCTTAATGTCTCCTTTGTTTATCATGTGATGAGACTTATTTCATTGTTTTCAGCAGCACACAAGAACCTTTGTGACAGTTGCAGTGTCTAAATTATTTTTCTATCATTAAAATCTCTTGAAAATGAACGAATCGTACTGCTTTCCTCTTGTTTTAAGATATAAGTTCCTCCTCGGTGAAAATTTAATGTGGGTGCATCACAACTTTATTTGAGAAAAAGGATTTTCAAATATGACAAATGAAAGAAAAGAAAATTCATGTAGCAAAATAGGATAACCACATTCTCCAATGAGACAAAAAACTGAAAAGATTATCACAGTCATTTCAACAAGAAGTACGTTCAGAAAAGAAAATTTGGATACTGTTTAAGTTAATTTTAGGGGAAATAGCTTAAAATAATAAAGCATAAGAAAAAAAATCAGTACTAGCAGATAAACACTTCCAAGTTGTCCCAAAATGTCCGATAAATTCAAACTAGCTCTTAAAGGAGAACAAGATTAATAGGCCCTGCATGGAACTGGTGACGAACTAAGGAATCATTGTCATAAAAGACAACATTAGAGAGCAAAAAAATAAATAATGTGCAGAACTTCATAAATTATTATACGCTTGTAAATCCCATATTTATACACAATCAATAGATTGATTATGCCATACCATGGATGACATGGGATCCGCTAGTGCACTCAAGAAAATCTTCAGAGAGTGAATCAAAATTGGCCTGCGTTATGAACAGTTGACAAACTTCAAATCAGGAAGACAGTTGACAGAGGGAAAAGTATGTTCAGAAAAGCACTCAATTTTTAAAAAAATCATTTAACCATTGATTCACTAATTTGCATTCAACAAAGGATGAGGAAAACTTTGATAGAACCATTCATCCAAGGTGATACGAGCTGAACATAATCATCTATTTGACAAAGTTTAAGGAGAGGATATGATCTGTCCTCCGTGATGATAATGATCGTGCATATAAAATGATAAAAACAATAAACTACTATAGAACAGTTCGTACACAGCGTCAACTGATGGCAGTTCCATTGTATAAACTAGAAGAAAAAACAACAACAGTAAGGCGACTCAGGGACATGTTTGTAGATAATACGATGCGATGTGGGCAGGGTAAATAGTGCCAACCTGTTCAGAACAGTGGGATTCTCCCTTCCGCAGTTGACGCAGGCTTCTACTCCTCTTACTAGCCGCCGGCGAGTCCCGAGACCTCAACGTGGTCCTCTTAGGGCCGCGACGACGCCGAACAGCAGCCAAGGCATCTATCTCTCCGCCCCCATCCTCCTTTCCCTCTGAAGAGGAAACCAAGACCACCTGGCCCTTCCCCATTGCAAGCAAACTACTGTCCCCGCATGGACTAGCTCAAGAACCCACCGGCAGCCAAGAACTGGGTGAGGAAGCCGTCTTTCAACCTACGACGCCGCCATTGCAAGAACCTCCGATCCCCAGAACAGCTAGAACCTCGAATTCGAACGCAGCAGAGCCACCGTGAGAAGGAGACAGCGTAGGAAAATGGGGACATGTCGGAAATCTGTTGAAGCTTCACCGAGAAGGAAGAGTTAGGGCACGCTCGTCATTTTCTATTTGTGACGTGGCAATTCGGTCCATCCCCCGTGGCCTAATAAAAACCTTCCACGTGCTTCTCTAGACATGGCCCACCCTCGACGGGAAAAGCCAAGCCAGAAACTCATTCCCCAAACTCATTCTCGGATCTCCAGTCAATTAACTCTGTCGTCCACCACAGGGTCAACCGTTCAGCTTACACTTCAGTTAAAGTCAACTCTAGTTTTCTCCTCCGGGAGGACGACTAAAAATAAAATCATTGATAAAATCATTTATACAAAATATCCTAATGAATTTCTATTTCTATTTTCTACGATAAAAACACATATAAACAGATAATGATACAAACAACCACTTAAAAAAATGGAGAAAATCATCACTAAAAATAGGTGTACCCAAAAATATCCATTTATACCCGATAAAGATAAATAATTTAGCTCTCTCCCTGCATGAAAATATCTTTTCATATTACATTTATCACATGTGTACCAATACTAGGAGAATGAATATTACAGTGATACCATAAAATTAATTTATATTTTTTCATATATTATATTATTATTTATTTTCGTAGTTACACCCTGCTGTTCATGAGATTATCGGATCCACTTCGGCACAAGTGAAACCGATTAACCGGACCGACTATCTCCATCGAGTCGATATAAATACTTGTATCCGAAACATTTTCGCTCTGTGGTTCTCTCTCTCTCTCTCTCTCGCCGCCGGCAGTGTCTTCTCTGGCGAACCTCTATCAGAGCAGCTTCAACAAATACCATACCGATCGGACGGCTCTCTGTGATCCGGCAGTTGAACCGCCCGGTCTGGCTGAGGAAGAAGTATAGCAGGCGCTCCCCTCCTGTGATTACTATAAAAACAAGGACATCTCGTCCGATCTTACTATACTTCTCTCGATTTGTACGCGGACTGGTCGATGGCGGAGCGGTGCGCTGGTTTGCTTCTCCAGGGATCGGTTGCAGTCCTCGAGAAGAAGAGGTTGAGGATTTCGCAGATCAATCTTTGGCGCCCCGTCGATTTCTGTTTCTTTTTTCAGAGGATCTGATATCCGCTCCCTCCACCCTTTCTGCTCGAACTTTCGGTCAGTTGATAATGCCCCCCGTCGTGTTCGTCGACAGATCGCGAGGTTATCAGTTCTGTTGAAGAAAAATGTTCCTGGATCCATCTCTGATTTCTCCCCGTCGATTTATCAGGCGTTTTCCGGATTCCTCGCCCTCACTAGGTGATGGAGCCCTACGGTGTTGTTATTGTGGATGAAGTAGCGGAGAGCAGTAAATCAGAACAAATGTTTGATGTTACTTGTGTTTTCAATAACAGGTGCTGTGGTGTAGTCGGTTATCACGTCAGTCTTACACACTGAAGGTCCCCAGTTCGAGCCTGGGCAGCACCATTTTTGGAATAACTATTCTAATCATTTTCAACAAAATTATTACTTATAATCATGTAAGTATTACATGATTTTGATCTATTTTCTCTCCATCTGATCTTATTTTTTGTCGATATAGGTCGAATAATCACCTTTTATTTTTCCGTCGGCATTTGATTAGAGTTTTTTTTTTAACTAATCTAATTCTCTCGCCATCTGATCTGCCTGTTTTCCTATACTTTTTGTCCGAGAACAGAACGAGGACTGTTATTTACGTAGACCGAGGAGGGAAGAGACTCCCCCCGCCGGCAGAAAGCAGACCGGAATCTGCTCTTTCTCCCTTCTCAAAAATCCCCGCGCCAGTGGCGTACGTCCCCCGTCCGGCCTGTCAATAATAACTCCGACTGATGCCTCCCTCTTGGCGCCCGCGCAGACCGGGGAGGAAGACGGAGGACGAAGGAAGATGAAGGAATGACCGGCGAGGGGCGGTGGCGCCGATGGGATGTGTCCATAGCTCCCTCCATGCATTTACTACCCGATATTATATAACCTGCAAGTACGACTGTACGGGGGGAGCTTGAGCTGGAGATGAAGATGGAGATGGGGAAGATGAGAGGTCACCGTGGAGAGGGCGGCAGCGGACAAGACGCTGCTGCGACAAGGGAAAGGGGAGGCCTTGATGATTTGGATAGAACGTCGTACTATCCGAGAACATCAACAGCGCGGCCTCTCGGCCTTGGTTGAGGAAATCCCACAGAGAGGAAACCCCCCGCCTCTTTCTCGTGCAAGATTCTCTAAATTCCATGTTCGCTTTCCTCAAAGAGGGCACAAAAGAATATCTGTACGTGCGGTAAAAGAGAGAGAGAGAGAGAGAGAGAGAGAGAGAGAGAGAGAGAGAGAGAGAGAAAAGAAAGGATTGTGGTGGCGGGCGGAGGGTAAGGAGGCGGCGCCTCCGCCGTCAGCTTCCTCCGGCGATAGGAGGGGAGGAGGAAGAAGGGGGAGAGTACGCTGTTGGGTTATATTCGGGGAAGATGACCAGGAAGAGAGAGAGGTGAGAGTGGTGGGGAGCAGGGGCCTGCACTGCGTTTCCCAATAGCAGCAGGGGGGGGCCTGCTGTCTCGACCAGGAGGATGACGGAGCCGGAGGCGAGATCGTTAGATATCATGCTGAACGGTCCCGATTCGACGGCGAGGACAACGAGGCGGCCTTGACGGACTGTAGGACACGATTTTCTGAACCATTTGGAGTCATAAATTATCCTGGAATAGAAAACATTTCTTTTGGAATACTATACGTACTCGGTCTGACTGCAGGTTGATTTTATTTTTTATATAAAAAATGACCTTTTTACTGAAATTTGATTTAAAAATAAGCGCAGAAAAATAAAAAATAAAATCAAATCGCGGGGCCTTTAAATCTCACTCGCCCTCAGACTCGCGGCCCCCACCTCCCCCCACCTTCTTTCCCCCACCTAGGTCATGTGGAACCAGCAGCAGCAGCAGCAGCAGCAGCAGCAGATCGACTTCCCCGGCCAGGCGAAGGCCCCCCTCCTCCTCCCTTCTTCTTCTTGTTCCTCCTCTTCCTCCTTCCCCCCCGTCCCGCAGACCCCCAGGAGGACCATGGAGGAGGTCTGGAAGGATATCACTCTCAACACGGCCTCCCCCATTGTGGAGAACAGTGCCGCTCACCAGGCGTACTTCCACCACCAAGGCCCCGCCGGCCATGGCTCCATCGCCGGCGTTCACCTCTCTCATTTCCGGGACTTCCTCTCCAGACCCTTGAAGGCCGCCACCGCCTCCGTCGCCGCCGTCCCGGTGCAACCGGCGGCGGAGGGGTCGTCTCGCTCGGCCCAGCCGCCGACTGGCTCGACTCCGGCTACCTGCCTCAGCCTCAACTCCGGCGTGGATTTCCAGCACATGGAGACGATGATTCCCGGGACGTGCCCTGCCGACCGCCGCCATCACTCTTCTTCCTCCACTTCCTCCTCCTTAACCGCTGTCACCTTCTCCGACTCTCCCTTCCCCGGCCTCTTCGTTTTCTGCAACAACAAGAAGCGAGCCCCGCAGCAGCAACAGCCGAATGCCGGCAACGGCTCGGGCGCCGGCGACAGCCGCAACAAGCGAATGATCAAGAACCGGGAGTCCGCCGCCCGATCCAGGGCCAGAAAGCAGGCAACTCCGTCCCCATCTCCCGCAATTGTCCCCTCTCTCTCTCTCTCTCTCTCGCTCTCTCTCTGTCTGGGTGAACCTCTATTATCGGCGGAGTGCAGGCCTACACGAACGAGCTGGAGCTGGAAGTCAACCACCTAACGAAGGAGAACGAGATGCTGAGGAGACAGCACGAAGAGGTATCCGGCGTCAACAGCCGCCAAATTTCCATTTTTTCTCTCGATAACGTCCCTGATATTATCCGCCGTTTGAAACAGCTTCGAGCGAAGCTGGCGGCCCAGCTCTTCACCAAGAGGGCTCTCCAGCGAAGCTCAACGGCTCCGTTCTAAAACAGAAAGAAGGAATGGCGGACGAACCGTTTCCTGCATGGAGGAGGGCGACCACATCGGCACGTCTGCAAGTGTATTTTTGCTCTCTCTCTCTCTCTCTCTCTCTCTCTCATCGTCGGTAACCCATAGTTTCTATAAGTGGGCACTAGAGAGAGGCTACACAGATGGGGATTTGTATCGCGAGGGGAGGCCTCCGTCCGGTGGGGTGGACTTGCAGAGTGATGGTCTCCGGCGGCGCCGCCACCTCAATAGAGAGAGAAACTTGTCCGAGCTTCCGTTTTCCCGGGCCGACCGGCTGCATAATTTTCTGCTTATTTCTGCGTTCTTCTTTCTCCCCCCCCCTCCGGCGCCCCCATAACAAGGCAGCAGCTTTCCGCCATGCATCGTCCCCGCATCCTCTCTCTATCTCTTTCTCTCTCTTCCTCCGGCGAACCCCCCGGACTCCTGGACTCGCCGACCCGGAACAGACCGCTGTGCATAAGAGAGATAGAGAGAGAACCAGTTAGGTTTCAGATGGAAAGGCTAACACGGACGGAGAGCAGCCATCGGTCGGCTTTTTACGTCACGTCAATCCTTCCGGCCGACGTCAGGAGGGGATTCCATTAAAAGGATCGCTGTGTAGGACGCCGGCGGCCGGCGGCCGGTCGTTGCCAAGCTGATCTCACCGTCGCCGGCGCCGTCGGCGGCAGGGTGACGTGACCTTCTCTTCCCACGAGGAAGAAGAAGCTAAGAAAACCCTGCAACTCTCCTCTCCTTCCCCGCCTCCTTTTCTCGTGAAGCCCCGCCATTAGATAGATGCCTTCTTCCTTCCCCTCGGCCAACCCCTTTGTCTCCGTCCAATGGCATCGTACGACCGCCATGGCAGATCCTAGCTCCGCTCCTTTGCTAGATGGGAATCCTATGCTACTCAAGTCCTCCACTTTCCTCTCTTCCTCTGTCTCTCTCTCTCTCTCTCCCCCTCTCCTTCTCCCTCTCCCACTCTCTCTCTCTCTCTCGCTCTCTCTCTCTATCTGGAGATGCTCCGGTGACGATGGAACATCGGGGTTGATGGGAGGGCATGGAAGGGATGTGGCTGACTCGGTCAGCACTTTGTTCCATGGCGAAGGCTTCAAGACAAATCGGGGCCCACCGTCAGTAGCCTTTTTCCGGGTGGGGAAATATTTGGGTCCCTGACAGTGGTGGTCGGTCCCGAGAGGCCCGATAAGCTTTCGGGCCGTAGCCGTAGAGAGGCCCATTAGGGATAGCCCAGGCATCTGATGGGCGGTGATGCCATCTATCCTAATGGCTCTGTGTGGCTCTCATCGCGGCGGTGAGTCATACTGTGGGAGGTAAGTTCACCTCCGTAGAGGGGCGATCGTATTTCATATGAAGTTTGTAATTACAGCATCATCATGATGTGTATATATTAAAACCCCCGTTTTCTGCATATTTATAGTGAAATCCCTTATGAAATCAAGTTGGAATGAATTATTTTTCACGCATCTTATAAAAAAAATAATTCTATGCCCGTGTAGGATATTGGGGAATCTATATATGATTAGAGAATATGCTGAATAATTGGAAAACAATGGATAATAAGTATATTAATGCATATGCGAATTTTTGTCCGTTTCACAAACAGCTACCATAAACTATTTCCAAAAATATATATATTGGTGAAAATTTTGATTATTTTTATGTACATCAGAGTACTCAAATTCATCATCGTCTCAATTTTGGTCTCATGGTCATATTAAGAACACGTGATAGATAGATAGAGAGAGAGAGAGAGAGAGATGGTTTTGAAAAGTACGGTTGCTGATAGAGGGTAGGAGAGAGAAAATGGTAGTGTGGGTAGGAGAGAGAAAGTGGTTTTTACTAAAATTGAAATATTATATAGCTTTAGTTATATCGTTATATGTTTGGGAAATATCAATCAAATTGGAAAATATAAAATATATCGGTAATTTAGTATTCCTAAGAATTAAGCCAAATAACTCGTCTAATATTGTAGTAGTTCACGATAAATAATTATTAATATAAACTTATGATGGAAATATAAGCTAATTTTTCACGTCGTGTTGTATATCGACAACAGGTTTTTGGGTAATTTTCCCCATGCTATATATATGAAAAATATGAAAATTGGATCAGAGGTCTCTCTCTCTCTCTCTCTCCTCAGTTGGGCTTCCAGCTATCTCGCCGTTCATTATCGCCCTTCTCCCTCTTTTCACAAATCTCTCGATGAGCGACTTTCTATGAGTCTAGACCCGCACCACCCTATCTGTTGATCGATTGGTTGACTTCCTTGCCCGCCGTCTCAGGTTCAGACGCTCTTGAGAACGTCCTGTTCTCTCGTCGCAAGGGATTGGGAGGTGAGCATCATTTACCCATTGTAGTCAATGTCGTCAAATTTTCAGGATGAGGAAAATCGTGTGCTTCGACGGACTCTCGTCTTCAATTTCTTATTCGGAGATTCGTGTTCGACCCAATCCACCCGCGTACTGCTGGATGGTGTTGAGGAACCACGAAGACGATCGTCTTCTTCTTGTTTTGATGTGATCACCTGCAAATTTTCGACCAATAAGTATGTACTAGAGTGATATCATGTGACTCCTTTCTTAGAGAAACCCTGGACAAACCTGACTAGGAAGGTCTGGTTGACTTTAAAATCAGATAGAACCTCCTTTTCGTCTCGGGTCAATAGCAGTTCAAAAATATGCAGAATAGAGAAATGAAAAGGAATTAAAATCTTTTATGTTTAGTAATGGGCATGAGTACTTTTTATTTACACACTACAGACTAGGCTTTATGGTCAAATATTCGAAACTCCGACCACGCTGCACAGCTAATTTACAATTACCTGGCTGTTGAATAAATAAAGAGAAGCGAAAATTGCATAATCAAAATAGATTATATTATGGATGAGTCGTCCGGAATTTTTTTCAGCTTCTGATTGTCAGAGGAGATCTGCAGATTTATTTCTTCAGTAACTGAGACTTCGCTCAAAACCCAACATACAGAACCTTACAAAGAGTGGCGCCATCGGACATAGTTTTTGTTTTTTTTTTTTTTTTGGTGGGTGGGTGTTATGGAAAGACGAGGTGGGTGGCATGAACTTCGAGTACTGACTCACCTCATCTATTAGACAAGTAAGAAGTATCATTGAATTCCTTAGCTCTATGGAATAGAAACCACCATTAGCCTGAATCCACAACCTCTTTCAGAAGTAGTCACTCAGGTCCGTGTTAGGAAATCGCTATTAATTGTTAGCGGGTTCTGCAGTGTATTAAACCACGCAACCTATTGGCATTAAATGCCCGGAGTAAGTTTTTCTTTTCTTTTCTCGTGTCATAAGTGATACAATGATTTTCATATCTGTCACCGCAGATAGTGATGAAAGATTGATGACTCGAGGATTATTTAAAAAGCTTTTCCCCACTCGAATACATTAATTTGATTCTATAGTCCCTTCAATAGGGAATTCCATGAGGAGTTGACCTCAAGTTTATTTAATGACGAGGAACGTCTGCTTGATCTTGAGGCACCTGGGGGTCTTATAATAGTTGACAATGTCCTGGTCCGGACCCAAGTAAATATTGCATCGAGAGTGTCTTTTGTGCCCATCTTATGTCTAATGTACAGCTGGTACTATGCGGTCTCAAAAAACAAAAAGGATCATCAACGGTGGGACTGACTTCATAATGAGATGGTTTCAGCTAGAGTCACTTGTGTAAGAACATCATGATTTGGACCAGAGAGAATTCCTATAAATGGCTAATTCGTACTACACAGTTGTACTTTCTATTAAGCCAACACGATGTGTTACCATTGATGATGGCCTTACTTCCACTGATCTGTGCACAGATTCGACGGTTGATGATACCTCGTACCTCTTTGCCTACTTAAATTCAACTTTTAGACATACTGATTGGGATGGCGGGACTCTTGTCAACGATTAAAGTTTCTATTGGACATCAAATTGATCCTTTTATCGGGATATCTCTCTTTTTTAAATTTTTTTTCCCGAAGGAAGTATTTCATTCTTCGTCATCATTTTAAAATCCTTTTTTATTTTTTATAGAGCAATATGGATGCCATGAGTGGAATACAAGCTTAAAGCACTGCGTACATTTTATGGTCACATGGAAACAAAAGGAAAATCATACTGACTGCGTTCATATTTCTAGAGGGAAGGTGACCTTCCTTCTAGTGGTGAGGCCCGCCGTCATCATACTACACAGTGAAAAAGTATGCTCTCTCCAACAGAATGTGAACCAGTATATAAGTCGAGTGTTGTGTCCCAGGAAAACAATGGAAACGAACGCAACTTAAAGAGCACTCAGCCCGAAAGAATCCTCCTAAAGGAGACCTACATCTACACTCAAGACATTGTCAAATGCAGCGATTATAAAGCTATGCTTGGAGCTGTGATGGAAGTCGCTGGTGCTTCAGATTCAGAGGCTAGTTTTACTGACGAGAGTGATGCTGAGAGCTACGATGAGTACAACAATATAAATGGTAAGGGTGGGGATGATGATAATGGTGGTGCTGGTGAGTATAGAGATGGGGGTGGTTCACTTGCAGAGGGTCGGGTAAAAATAATGTGGGCTGATGGTTCTGAGACGATAAACCCAATCAGTAATCTTGCTGTTGTGGATAGGGAATTCGTGCATGGAGATATAGTTGCTTCCATTTCAGATCCAACAAGACAACTTGGCCGTGTAGTGGATGTTAATATTTCCGTAGACCTAGATGCTTTCTCTGGGCAAACTCTTAGAGACATATCCTCCAAGAAGTTGAAACGTGTACGAGACTTCAGTGCAGGTGATTATGTAGTATGTGGGCCTTGGCTGGGTCGAGTTGATGAGGTGGTGGATAATGTGACTGTCATGTTCGATGATGGATCTGTCTGTAAAGTGATGAAGGCTGATCCCTCGAGGCTTAAGCCCATTTCAAAAAGAATGGTCAGTGACGCCGGGTTTCCTTACTACCCAGGTCAGCGTGTAAAGGCTGTTTCTTCATCTGTTTTCAAGACTTCTCGGTGGCTTTATGGGCTGTGGAGAGCTAACCATGTCGAAGGTACTGTCACTGAAGTTCAGGCAGCATCAGTTTTCGTTTACTGGATTGCTTCTGCCAGCTCTGGATCAAGTGATGGTTCAGCGTCTGCTCCTGCTGAAGAGCAGAAACCAAAGAATTTGATGCTTTTATCTTGTTTTACCCATGCTTATTGGCGACTTGGTGATCGTTGTCTCTTTTCACCACCTCAGCCTCTTCCAACTACATCAGGTAGTACTTCAAAAGCAAAAGTTACTGAGGATCCTATCCCTGGATGTAACTCTAACTTGAATAGTTCCAGCTCACATATTGGTGACGATAATGACTTGTATTTGAGCGACAGCTTAGAAAGCTCTAAACCAGGGTGCCGTGATTCTGGTGGAAGCTGTAGAGATGAGCAATCATCCGACCAACCTTATCCAGATGAGGCAATGCAGTCTGAGGGATGCGAGTCGCGTCTCCTGAATGCTGCTGATTCGCCTGATCATTTAGTTTCGGGACACTCGGGAGACGAATTCAGTGCACATTCCACGATTACAGAGACCTCGAACGAAAGTTTCTCATCTTGTGAAGATGAACCTTTGATATGTCCTGATAGAACCCGTAACAGTGGTATGACACGAGAAGCTAACACAAAAAATGAAGTGGTGGAATCTGGGTTTTTGAATCATTCATCAGTTACTCGAACAAATCAACATCTTCTGTCAGGCTGGCCTGGTTATCGTAGAAACTTCCGAACAACATTATTCAAGAGTGAGAGGAGCCATAAAATGGTACCATCTGAGAGAGCCTTTTCTGTTGCTAGTACTTTGACAAAAGTCGATGTAGCTTGGCAGGATGGAACTAGGGAATTCGGTGTGAATTCGACATCTTTGATTCCGGTACAACGCCCAGGAGACTATGATTTCTTTCCTGAACAGTACGTAATGGAGAAGGCATCCGATGAAAATGATGAGTTATCTGAGGTGAAACGTGTAGGAGTAGTGAGAAGTGTGAATGCTGAAGAGCGAACTGTCTGTGTGAGGTGGCTTAAACCTTTTCCAAGGCCAGAAAGCTCGTGGGAATTTGATAATGAAGAAGTCGTTAGTGCATATGAACTTGTTCTACATCCAGACTATGACTATTGCTACGGGGATCTTGTTGTTCGTTTGTCCTCACTATCAGTTTCTACTGACGCTCCCGTTTCTGAAGATCCTAGTGAACTGGAAGACGATACTTCTTGGCTGCACGAAAGCGACGAGAAGAGACAAGCAAGGCCAGGATCGAATGTGACTCAACCGGCAAAGGGAGAGTCTGATAAGAATTTGGCTTGGGTTGGGCATATAACTGGCCTACAGCAGGGCAGCATTGAAGTTACATGGGCAGATGGAATAATTTCAAAGGTATTTGAAGGTCTATCCTAGGCAGCTATCATTTTTTAAACTCTAAAATTATTTAAGAAAATAAGTCGTCTTTGAACCAAGGCAAAGGTTTAGCATAATATCCTACCTTTCAGGTTGTCATCATACTCTGAGTGATAGTTCAGTTTATTTCATGTTTGGATGTTTGCCTCCCTGAACTACTTCTCATTCGTCCCAGGTGGGTCCCCAGGCAATTTACGTGGTCAGTGGAGAAGATGATGGGGAATCAATTGTGTCTGAAAGTGAATTGAGTGATGATAACGCTAGTTGGGAAACAGTTGAAGAAAACGAAATGGCCGACCTCGATGCTGTCAATGAGGTGATTCTATATCCTCAATTGTTTTACAATAATCCAATTTATTTTTTAAAACTGTATTCTTGTTATTATTAACTTGTCTGTGATTTTTAGGAAGATGGTTCGCTATTTTCCACTGATGGCAACGCTGAGAAGGAAAATGTCGCTGCTGCTTCCAGTGAAGACAACAATCCTATCAGACATGGACCCCTATCATTTTCTGTCTCGGCATTTGGATTTTTTACGAGGTTAGTCACTGGATTGTTTACACAGGGAAGGGAGACATTGGATTCGTCAGGTACAGATGAAGGCAACAGAAGCGCAGATCAATCTCATAACATCCAGCAGACATCTGTCAAAGATACTGAAGCTGGTGGACTTAGCTCCCCAGATCATGATATCTCGGATGATCATGCTGCACCAACTAACGGAGAAACTTCAGAGACAGGCAGCGCTGTGCCCATGGAAGCAGATACTGAAGTGAAAGTGGACATGCTGCACAGCCCTGCGTCAGTGGAGGTGGACACTGCCATCAGTTTTCAAAGAGGATATGAGGAAGATGGTTCGTATAGCTTTAAACAGTTTGATATTGCAAAAGATCCTTCGGATCATAAATTCCTCGATGTGACAGGACAGGTAATAGCCGGAATTCTTTGTGCAAATTATGTCTCATCTTTCTTTGTTAAGCAATGCTGACGAAGAGAAATGTGTTCATTGGAAATGGCCTGCAGAATAGGGGGAGTAGTAAATGGATCAAGAAGGTTCAAAAGGAATGGAACATCCTTGAGAAAAATCTTCCAGGTGTGCATCAAAGGCTCCCTTTTAACATACCTGACGAAGAATCGCTCCCCACTCACTTGGAAAACATAAAATTGGAATATTTTATATTGTGATAGACATAAATGATATAATCTTATAAAAATGTTTTCAAAAACAGGTGGCCAACATGTAAAGGCGCCAGCTTTTCTTAAAATCACCTGTAATAGTGCCAGCATTTTCTCTTCCTGTTTGATGTAACTTCGCAAATCACCTCTAATAAGCTTCACAAATTTCTGTCAACTCTTCTCAAGGGTGAAAGAAAAGTCATTCAGATATTTAAAGGGAAATGAGCGACACTTTTACTTACTTCACTTGAACAAATAAATTTAGGAGTGTAGATGAAGAATTTACAAGCATTTTGCCATTATTTCTGCTGAAGGAAGGTTCCCGTCTGTGCAGTTTTCTAATGGAAGTTCTTTGCGTGATTAATTTTTTCAAATAGATTATTTGAGGTGAAAAAAAGCCTTTCGTTGCCTGCACTATACCAGAAAATAAACCTTGCTTGCCATATACAAAGGAAGGTCCTCCTCCCAGAGGATGAAAATATATGTCTAAAGAGTAGATCCATTTCATGAGGGTTGTTATTTAGATAGATATTTAGCATTTCGATGATGTTCATGAATCCTTCAAACTAAGCTCTTCGAATTTCATTTTTTTTTTTCAGATGCTATATTTGTTAGAGTTTTTGAGGATCGCATGGATCTCTTAAGGGCTGTGATAGTTGGAGCGTGTGGGACACCTTACCAAGACGGCCTTTTCTTCTTCGACTTTCACCTCTTGCCTGATTACCCTCAAGTACCACCTGTATGTTCTTCATGTGATTGTCATGCATCCAATATTGAGCTTTACGACCAGTTTTTTTTGTCATTTTTCTCGTACTTAGAACCTGTTTTACTTGGTTTCCAGTCGGTATACTATCACTCAGGAGGTTTGCGCATAAACCCCAATCTATACGAGGAAGGAAAGGTATGCCTTAGCATATTAAATACATGGGCAGGCAGAGGGAACGAAGTCTGGGACCAGAGTTCGTCCAGCATACTTCAGGTCCTGGTCTCGATTCAGGGTTTAGTGCTGAATTCTAGGCCATATTTCAATGAAGCTGGATATGATAAGCAAGTCGGGACTGCTGAAGGAGAGAAGAATTCGCTATCATACAATGAGAATACCTATATACTGAACTTGAGATCGATGTTGTACCTTCTACGGAGACCTCCCAGGGTAAGAGAGCCACCCCTCGTTGACTTTACTGATCTAATGTTTTGATCAGCGCTGTTCCATTCTTTGTGTTATTACAGAATCCTGCCTTTACTACTCAAGCCAGACGATCTTTTTTAGCCTTACGCACAGAAATTCTTAATTTCCTTCCGACGTGATTACTCTGTAGATATCAAAAAAACTCCCACAATGGTCAACATCTCACTAGATTTTCTTGGAGGAATCTGCAAAGCCTGTACGCTCCTGTGATTCAATGATTGAATGGTTTTTTTTTTTCTTTTTTAGGGAAGTTATCAAAAATCATTAAAAGAATTTTCAACTAGATTTAGTGAGATGGATGTTAAGAACACTCATGTTTAAAAATTGATCTTTTAGTGAGATTTTCGACAAGATTTAAAAAGTGATCACAGCAGATGAATGCTAAGAGCTCCCACAATTGTCCGAGCACATTGACCATCTGATCATCTCACTAGATTTTCTCCGAGGAATTCGCAAAGCTTGAACACTCCTGTTTTAAAATTCTTCCATACGTTTTCCACAAAAATAAGGAATCCATCGATGTCCTCATTAAACTCAAAAACCTTAGTCCTTTGCAGTACGAGAATTCTCCTCCATATGACTGACCTCTCGTTGACATCCACAGCACTTCGAGGCTTTTGTCGACCACCATTTCAGGACACGAGGGCATTATATTCTGAAGGCCTGCGATGCATACGTGAAGGGCTGTGCAGTTGGGTCTCTAACCAACGACGCCGAGGAGACGACGAACAGTGATGGGCGATCCTCTACTGGGTTCAAGCTGATTCTAGAGAAGATCACACCAAAGCTATTTGCGGCACTTTGCGAGGCTGGAGCCATAGACTGCCAGCAATTTGCACACCTACAGAAGATCTGAAGGGCTCAATCTCCCACTGATCATCTGGTTCTATTTTTTTTGTTGCATAGAAAGAAGGGCTCTGATTCATCCCCATCTCTGCATCTGCCTAATGTTCTTCTGGGGTTGGATCATGATCCTGCAATTTTTGGATCCACTTCATCGGATGAAATGCAATTTTGCCCATATGGAAGGCGGGTGGAGTGGGGAAGTTTTGCATGTTTTTTTTTTGTTTCTCTTTTGGGCAATCGATAATATTATACTGCAGAAATTACGAAACTGTAGTTGACTCTTGGTGGGCAGGACTGGTCAATCCGGACGAAGATTGATTGTCCCTAATCCGACCGTGTGAGGGACTTCTATCGCTGCTTGACTTTGTCTTTTGTCAGCGTCTCTAGCGTCGCCTACATTCTTGTTCGGAAGAACAAGAAGAAGAAAAATGATAAGACGATAATATTACTAAAAAAATGACCAATCAGCATGGTTCATTTCTACGTAAAAATTAAGCTGGATCGATAATATTCTGCCACATTCTCCGGAAAATCATAAATGGAATAATGTTTCCTGTTCGTGCGAAAGTTCAGAGTTAATTTCTTCCTGTTTTATTTTTTAAACCCAAAAATAGAAAATATAACTAAAACAGGAGGAGAGTTTTATACCCTTAATGTGAGTTAATGAAACATTAGAAACACATTCTGGTGCAAACCAAAAAATTCCTCTGATGGAACCCCTGAATTTCAGAAATCGACATAAAATATGTCAAATAAATAACTAATCAAAAAAATCTAAAACTATTTTTCAATTATCTAGGTATCGTTTACGATCCATAAGCGTGCTATATATGATTTAGAGTGGGTTTAAACATGAACTTGTTGCTCAGAATTCTCCTATGATTGCATCTAAAGATTGAACTGTTAGAGCTGTATATACTAGCACATCATTTTTCATGATCTTTCAGAATTTCTATCTGGGTAGAAGCATATGCTACTGAGCCACTATCACATTTTTTTTTGGTTATCTGATGAAACATATCAGATGAGAAAGTATAAAAAGTAGACAATGGTCCAAGGAGCATGAAGCTATTTCCCCACCAGGGATAATCTTCAAAAAATATTATGAGCATAAAACTATACTTTACCAAATTTAAATCAGGTTCCTTCGGATTCTATTTTTGATGGTGGTGATGCCAGCGTTATCTAAACCGAGATCATCATCATCCTCCATTCTTGGTTTCACCATTCTACTATGCTTTTTATTTCTCAATAATCAGTGGGTAGAGATGATAAATCATTCCATAAGAATATGTACAACACTCAACATCTAGTTTTTTCCAGGACATCTAAACTCGTTCAAGTCAAGAACTAGAAATATTCTACGCAATATACTGTTGGATTAGGGACGCTGATGCCAAAATGAACGGCCTCACTCAGGAAAAAATTGTCACCAATTATCATCCTGCTTTCAATCTTTAATCACTGCCTGCTTATTTTCAATTCCATTATGACGCTAAAAAAATCAAAATCCTGCCATCAAGGTGTAAGATTATGAAAATCAATCTGAAGTCCTTGAGGTTTCTTCATCTAATTCCTTCCGGCTGCAGCATTAGGAACAGTGAAGAGAAGAACATGCAATTGCATCTAAAGTCTGCACGGTTTCTATCAAATTCCTTTGACCAGAATGAGGGTGATAGTTGTTGACTATCGAAGGGGAAAATCTCTCAGTAAGCTGATCAGAGTGAGAGTCGCTTCATTTCAATTGTGTTATTTCTTTCAAAAGGCAAGTAAAGCGAAACAGAGTAAAGAAACCGAATCGAGCAGAAGGTGTCATCAAGAAAGAAACTTGTGTTCGAAATACTGGAGGGAGATGAGAGCCACGGCGATCATATCCAGTCTGGAATCATGGCTGGTTGTATTTGATAAAAACCCCAGAACAAAACGGAAGCATCCATTTAAAAAAAAAAGTCTTTCGAATCCTTAAAACTCCCCATTGACTTGATTCCCATGTCAACTCACTCCGATTACAGCATACGGCGTTGCAGAGAGAGGAGAACATGCGGGTATGACAGGCAAAAAAATTCATACGGTTTTTATAATATTCCTCCTAGCAAGAAATCTCGCTATTGGCGGAGTGAGTGCGATCGTAATCGGGACCCGTACCGGGAATAGAGCTTTGTTGCAGAGGACAGCGAGGGCAAGAGCGCCGCCGCTCGAAGCCGCCAGATCTGCCGTCCTATTGTTCTTCTTCGGCTGATCAACCGGCACCGAGGCAGGTACCGCATAATCATCGTCAAGGATGATGGCAGTTCTGTCCGCTGGATCCGAGTGGGCGGGGGCGGGGGCGCCGTCAGCTGCTTCATCCCCTTCCTTGGAGACGCCGGGAAGACCCACCCTCTCCAAGACTGAGGCAACGTCGACGTTGTTCTTTATGGCAACGTACAGGCCGGTGATGGAGGCCGCCGATACGGAGAAGTGCACCCCCACCGCCACCTTCCCATACTTCTTCATCAACTCCCGGAATCGACCAGTGAACGCCATCGGTAAAAGGCAGCTTCCTGCCGGGCCTTGCAGATTAACAGGCACAGGCACCGTGATGGGCAGAGAGAGAAAGTGAGAGCGAGAAGAGAGAGAGAGAGAGAGAGAGAGAGAGAGAGAGAGAGAGAGTATAGGGTTTTAGAGGAAGGCTGGTGATCCTGGGGGTGGGCATTTGCCCGTTTTCCCAAGAAAGAGGAGACAGGAGTTCGTTAAAATTAACCGCGGATTTTTCATATTAAAGTGTTCCGCCGTGTTTTCAGCTGGACAGCTCTTAGGACACGGGAAGCTGGCCAGATAAGATCTTTGTCACTTTCCAGGGATGTCGGTTAAATAAACTCGAACAATGGAATATCTCCAAGAGATAATCGATACTCTTTTGCCGTCGGCGGGAGCCGTCATTGCCTCCCTTCAGATGCGAAATCTGGGCCGAGTTTAATGGGCCGGAATTGCGCTCTAAATGGGCTTTTCTACGAGCGGGGTAGAGAGAGAAGGAAAGCCCAATTCCAGGCTAAAGAGTGACTTAAAATGGGCCATCATCTGAAACCAAGGCCCAGAATAACGGGCAGATCTGGGCCGGATTCTAAACCCATCCAGTCCTTTAGATCTGAGTCAACTTTTCAGATTTGATTAATTAGTCCTATATTTTTTAATAAATAAATGTAAAATTTATTTTGTTTTAGCTACCCGGAAAAGAACTAATTTAACAGTAGTCATAAATTTACTATTAGTCCTATTTTTATAAATAAATGAACTCTAAATTTATTTGGTTTTAGCTACCTAAAAATGAACTAATTTATTAGTGGTCACAAATTTACTGTGTTATTTATGAAATTCCCTATTATTATTTAAAATAAATATTTAATATTTATAATTTAACATGAGAACGCAAATTGACCCTCATAACCATGTGTCCCCTCTATTTTAGGTTATATAAAAATAATAATATTTCCATCAATATCTCCATTAATGGAGGGTTTTTTTTTTAAATTATATACACATACTTACTCGAATTAATGAGATGTAGAATAAATTAACCGTTGAGAATAGAAGGAATTATTAATTCCCTTTAAAAGAAATAAAATAAAATATGAGGAGATAGATAATGGGTGCCACGGGTGACTCGCCTTCTAGAAGCCTCCTTTGATTTTCCACCTATTTCTGTCGGAAATGAGCCCGCAACGGTCTCCGCCGCCTCTCCTAGCTTCATCCCGAGTGTTCCTCCTCTTCCCCCCGCCACTGCCGTGCTCGCCCCTCCGCTATCCTTGCTGACATTGCTCTCTCTTATCATGGCCATTTCCAACTCTATGCTATCCATCTCCGTCGGCAGCTCGGTTCGCTTGGCTCCACCGGCAATCCCAGGGCGCGGAGGTGATGGAGGAGCGTATCTTCTAACTCATCGCCACTCTTCTTTCCGGGCAAGGAGGGGAGATCTCCCCGCTCTCCGAAAAAGAATGGACAGAGGTGATTCTGATTCCTCCTTTCGAACTTGAATTTTTCTGTGGGCAGAGGTGTTTCAGATGGGCTAGGTGCCGGCTGGTTATTAGGGAGGAGCAGGAGAGCCTGCGGGACGAAATCTCGAGTTATATAGGAGCCGGGAGGTTTGATGAGGGGATTGGGCCATTTTATGGGGAGTCTTCCATGGTGAAAAGCCCCTGAAATTTCGTGCCATCACTCTGAACTTGTCCTTCCCCTGGTCCGGGTCACAGTGCTGGTCGGAAGAACAATAGCTTTTCGGAATGTCTTCCATGTAATACGTCTTGAAAGGACTTTCGGGGAGAGTGTGGCCCTAAAGTGAAAGGTCTTCAGTGTGAAAGGTAGCTGAGCATGCTTTTTATTTTCTTTCCCGGAAATAGTATGATCTTATCTATTTTCTCTTATAGAAGTACAGCACCCTGCCGTCTGCTTGTTTAAGGCGTGTAAATCGTGGAGAATGGCATTTGTAGAGGGCATAATTTCCTCAGCAATGGCGCGGTGGCTGCTCACGGGTCAGACAAAAGTTTGAAACTTAGTGTATTTTCTCGCGATAAGCATGCCAACCTACACCGTCCCCGATGGCATATTGACTAGAAGCCCTATTTTTCTCTTAAACGAATCTTTTACATTCCACCTACGTGGTGACCATGTGGAATACTATTGCCTGATCCAGGGACATTCACGAGACAAGCAGACGGTTCGCTTGAGATTGCCGATAAAATGTCCAAGAGGAAAGCATTGCTGTGTGAGCTCCATCAACTCAAAATCTGATGAAGTAGTAGACGTTGAGAAGAGGGGACGAGCAGCTTCCCTCCGCTAGGACGAATAATTTTAACGGAAAGGAAAACAGTATTTTAATCAAGGGAGAAAGCTGGGATGAAGATATGGGCGGAGAAAATAAATGGCGATGTCTTATGCATAGGGTTTTTTTAATATGCAGTATGTAATGTTTTTGATCATCCGCGATATGCCCATCTCAGTTTTTGGTGCTCCGGGCGTCTGGAGATGGTGATAGTCACCTCCCTTCTTGTTAGTAGGGGTTGCATAATTTTTTTCACTTATGGATACGGTTTTGTGTGCTGATTTGGAATGGTGGGTGAAACCTCCTGTCATATCTCGCTTACAGACTCGAGTTAGCTTTGAGAAGGCCTTCCAAATGGGCTTGGCTTGATGGGGACTAATTTATTGGGGTTGGGGAGTAGAGAATATTAAAAACTGGAGCAGGAGATGAACGGCGAAATGTCACCCTGTTTTCATCATTATTGATGTTATTGTGTACAGTCCTGTTTTGACAACCATGGGAAAAGGCCGAGGGATTTTTTTGGGCGAGACCTATGTGGAGAGCTGTACCGAACAAACTCGCCTATAGGTTATCAATCAGGAGATCAAGAACCCAGAGATTGGCCATGTTATGCCCGGAATTTAGGTGAACTAAACGTTTTGGCTTGATGGGCTTGGCTAGACTGGCCCTGTCAGTGCGCCACATTCTTTCCAGATGTCGAATTGTAAAATTTAATTATATTGAAGGGGAAAGAGTTATGATTTCAGAGCAAGCCATGCTATCATCGAATTCGTAAGAAAAGAGGTTCAGATTGGAACGAAAAGGAGATGGGTTTCATTTGAATGATCTTGACAGAAACTTATACTCACCATCAATTTATCTAGGAAAACGCTTTTGGCTGTTAATATCTGCCAGGTTTTCTATGATGTTTTAAAAAAAATGAGGGGAGATTATCACCCGCCATATTTTTTTGTTCTAGTGTTCTATACCTTTTCTGCCTCCAAACTTTTGAGACCTGTTTTCTCTTTCTCGAGGTTGTGAGCAATTGAATCATGTCTCGAAATTGTGAGAAATCATGTCATTTTCGTGCAGCGGGTTCCTGAGAGAACTCTGTTTTAGCACGAAAACAGGATAAAAAATCTATGTTAGGTGCTTTTCTTCCTTTGCCTCTCAGATAGCTTCGCGCTGTTGCAATGGAACCTGTGATTGGTTGCTGCTTCTTGTCAAGCGTTTTCTGGTATCTTCGACATAGGGAAGTTCCTTGAGCTTCTCTATCATAAGCTCAGGCCTACCAGCATTGCCAAGGTTCTATTGTTCGTCACTTTGCTGCAGTGTGCTTGCATTGAAACTGGTGGGCAGGGTTTCTTGCTTTGCATCGAAACTGGTAGAGAAGATGTCACGTTGGCAAGTTTTGGCCTCTGTTATGTGATTGGTTGGAGTATCTTCTCTCGATGTTTGCATGATTATTTCTTTAGTATAGATGAATACGTTATACATTGGTTTTTTTTTTTCTTCCCCTTTGATTAAGTGGGTGTTCTTGAACATGAACCGTGTTCGTCTTGTTTCTCCAGATTTACTTGAACTCTGAGGCTTTGGGTTCCCTGGGGGTTTTGCCGTTTATATTTTTGTTAATTATTCTCAGTAGTCTTGTTCGTGCAATTGATAGTTAATAATGAAGTGCTTTGCGTACATTTGGCTGATTAGTCTCTTCTGTTGCAGCGAGCCTGACCACAAAGGCTGAGGTGCAGGACTCTGGAAACGCCCCAGCGGCAGACTTGTATACGGCCTTCAAACACGTGCTTCTACCTATTACTGATCGGAATCCCTACCTATCCGAAGGAACAAGACAGGTTTTGCTTCTCTCTCTCTTCCCATTCTTCAGCAACCCTCATAATGATAAACTCTGTGCGTCTCTCTCTCTCTCTCTCTCTCTTCCCATTTTTCAGCAGCCCTCATAATGATAACCTCTGTGCTTCTCTCTCTCTACCCATTCTTCAGTAACACTCATGATGATAATCTCTGTGCTTCTCTCTCTCTCTCTCTCTCTCTCTCTCTCCCTCTTCCTCTCCCCAGTCTTAAGCTACTCAGGCTATTATGCACGAATACTACGTCTAGTTTGATCACTACTCCTCCCATTGGCAATTGGTGAGACCAAATCTATCTTCAACCTCATCCCATCCGCCTCTCTCCCTGACCCGTAATGGTCTCTCTCTAGTAGCTATCGATTTGACTTCGTTCTTCTGGCAGGCGGCGGCAACAACCGCTGCTCTGGCGAAGAAGTACGGCGCGGACATTACAGTCGTCGGTATGCTCATCAGCGCCTTCAACAGGCCATCTCATCATCCATTCTTACAAAAATAGTCTGAAATATGTGATCGGGCATCCCTTCCCGGCAGTTATCGACGATAAGCCCAAGGAATCGATCCCAGAGCACGACGCCCAACTGTCCAGCATCCGGTGGCATCTGTCCGAAGGTCAACGCATTCCCCTTAAACAAAGCTAAGCTTCCGCTAATCGCTCTCATCTTCATCAGTTTTGGTTGGCTCATCGGATTGGGCTGTTGGTGCAGGCGGCTTCCAGGAGTTCAGGCTAATGGAGCGGCTGGGGGAGGGGAGCAAGAAGCCGACGGCGATCATCGGAGAGCTGGCGGACGATCTGAACCTGGACTTGGTGGTGCTCAGCATGGAGGCGATCCACTCGAAGCACGTAGATGGAAACCTCCTGGCGGAGTTCGTCCCCTGCCCGGTCCTCCTCCTCCCTCTGTAGCCCCCCCCCCCCCCCTTTTTCTCTCTTCTTCCTCCGGCACACTGGACAGGATCCCGGAGAAGTCCAGAGGGTTTTCATTTCGCCATATTAGCTTCCTTGGTAACGTCCCAAGGCTACAATAACTCCACTTTCTCTCTCTCTCTCTCTCTAAATGAGAAGAAACCAGGCTCCCAGGGACAGGAAGACGGACAGACAGCAAACACAGAAAAATCGATATTAGCTTTCTTAGTAGCGTTCCAAGGCTACAATAACTTCAGTTTCTCTCTCTCTCTCTCTCTCTAGAATGAGAAGAAACCGGGTTCCAGGGACAGAAAGACAGACAGCAAGCACAGAAAAATTCGATATTAGCTTTTCTTGTACGTCCCAAGGCTGCAATAACTTCAGTTTCTCTCTCTCTCTCTAGACATGAGAGGTAACCCGGCTCCAGGGGCAGAGACAGAAAGACAGCAAACACATAAAAATTCGATAAACAGTTGGAGGTTCGGAAACAAATGAAAGAATGTACTGCTCTATCAGTGAGGGGCGCTACAATCAGTTTCACTGAGAAGGGAAGGGGGAGGGGGGAAATAATATTAACTCCAGGGAGACGCATCCTACAACAAAAAACGGCAGCCGACTGGTTAAACATCGGCCGGGATTAGATAGTCAAACTAGGCAAAGAGGCAGGCATTCGATAAATCGCCAAAGTCAACTGCTCTGGACAGATTCTTCTTCACTGACCACTTCCTGGAAGCTACTACGCCTGGGGCTCGCTTCCACTGGGTTCGCTTGATCTGAACTCACGCCCCCTTCCTCTGCCGCCCCGACCCCTTCCACGGCCGCGCCCTTCATGAAATATTTGAAAGAAATTACCTCAAATAGAACGTCAAGCAGAAATCTTTGGAGGAATTCAATGCAGGGGTTCATAGCCAGGCAGACCCTGCGGAGGAACATTGGCGGCTTCATGGTCTTCGCCGTTCTCATGGTGAAAGTATCCACGGCCACCATAGCCGCCTCGTCCCTGGCCGCGGAAGCCGCGTCCCCGGCCGCGGCCCCCATAGCCGCCGCCCCTGCCGTATCCATGATCGCCATTGCTCCAACCTCCCTCGGGATAATCATCAGGCGCATTTGGATTTCCTGAAGAATCAAGTAGGCGATCTAGAATTGCTCACAGCGTTAAAATAAACAGGAGACATTGAGTTCGGCTCTCATTCACAGACCTCTGCCTCTTCCCCTTGTTCGACCGCCACGGCCCCTGTTGCGACTGTAGGGTAGATCTTCTGAAATTTTATAACGTCATTAGCAGAAGGCAGAGAGATGGAAACGTGGATGACACAATTTTAGTAGTCTAGATCACCTCCTTCGTCATCGAAGTCAGGCAGAGGCTTCACTTGATCACTTGGCAGGGGAGGCTGGTACCTGCCCAAAGAAACCATCGAAGATATTTCAAGCATTCTTGAGCATAGCACAGAAATTGATGAAGTTCCAATTGGCCCGGAGAATACAGACCATGAAATGAAATAAAGGAAGAACAAACTATGATCAACTTTGAAATTGACAGATGAGAAAATATCCGTGCAAGAAAATATCATAAATTCAGTGCAAGCCAAATCATTGCAGATTCTTTTCGTAGAAAGAAGTCCACAGACCAAATCATACGGCACTAAACTATGGTAATTAGCTAAAAGACCATAGGAATACAGACCTCTCTAAAATAAGGATACAGTATATCTAATTTTTCTATAAAGAAAAAAAAAACAGACGAGGCGAGGTAAAAAGCTGCACATGGATCGAAATAATTGTGGTATGAAACATGAAATCAGGATAAAAAGGATTAATACAACAAACTTTCATGAATAGAGGCCAAGTGAGTCAAATAGATTGATGCGTCTGAGAGGATGAGATAGATTGTGGTTGATCACGAATATATCTATGGTGCCGAATATCTTAATGTTGTAATTTTTCACAATTGAATTATCTCCTTCATGTTTTTTGCTTCATTATACGACCTTAATCGCACTTCCAAACGCCAGCAATGGCTTAAACGTCTTCCGATGGGATCGGTCAGACCACCAATAGCAGTTTCATGGATGTTCAAATCTTTCTTGCAAGGCTGCCATGCATTTCCGTGATCCTTGCGCTCAGCATAAACAAATACGCAATAAGAGATCGTCTTCTTCAACACAGCTTATTGAAAAGGTAGGGAAAACACTCTGGTATAGCGTTTTTTTTTACCATTTAGCCGAATTATAGATTGATAATCCCAACACGAGCACCATCTTGACTACCCAATAAAGCTACAGAAAAATAAACAATAAATTCATGTCTAAATAAACTCTCCTCTAACCCCCAAAAAAGAAGAAAAAATGTTTAAACCACCCATCAGACTGCCTTACACCACATCCTGACAAAAGAAGGTAAGATAAATGGACTACATATTACCTTCCATCCCATAAGGTTGGAACCCTAGCACACAATCTGATTACTGTTATCCTCTGCAATATTCAACCCATTACGCACCATAGATTGCCTCTATACAGGACAGTCCACTCAAATACGGTAGATATTAACATCACAAAGAGCGCCAGTCAATTATTTCACGACAGATTCCAGGCATCTTCAACAACCAGATCATCAAAAATTATGCATGAAAAGAACCGACTACTTACCCAACAGAAGAGGTATCGAGAGCTTCTTTTGACAAAGTGATTGTGATCAAGGACACATGTCTCGTAGTTTCAATTCTATAGAAAAGGAAAGTAATTAGTACTTCACAAGAACGTCAGTTCCAAAAAAAAAAAAGAAAAAAAAAAGATGTAAAGCGGCATCGGATAATCACACCACGCATCTCTCTTTTCCTTTTTTAAAAACAAGATAGCATGTTTTCTTACGGAAGCAGGCCTTCTTCCAAAGGTTCCCATGTATCAGTAATGTCAGTGGATCCAATAACTGTAATCTGATGAAGTCCAGCGATCCTCCTCTGGAAGTTTCAAGGAAGATGGCAGAAAACATTACGCTGTGCAAAATTGACAGAGAAGCGGAAGAAAAATAAAATTTGATTTTTATCGACAAAGAAGCTCGGAATCAGTACCTTGATTAGTTCCACAATCATTACAGACTTATTGATGGCTCTCCCCATCGCCTTTAGAACAATCTCATTGGTACCTTTTTCCTTCATAAATTTACATGATGTATCAGAATACCGAGGATAAGAATGTAAGAACCATAGGAGGTCAAAAATCAGTTCTCTTAATCGGCAGAAAGCAAAAATGGGAAAGGTGACCCCTAACGTCTCACTTTACCGTACCATCGAGTGGTAGGCTTAGATCTCAAAAGAAGCGAACACATTAACCAGAACCTTTGAGTGAACGAATCATGTTCTCTTACAGCTTACGTTATGAACAGACACAATACCGAAACATATTTGCAATGTTACCTGGAAAAGGTTAATAGCATAGGAGATATAGTTGCGCATCCTCCCCTGGGTGGTTACCCGTATCTCGTTCTCGTTTATGGGAGCTTCCTCCCGCGGTTTCTCCACTCTCTGGTACCGATCCATCTCGCTCCTACCTTCCTGAGCACACACCATCGACAATCAGAGCCCCGTAAATAGGCATTATCCACGGAAACCCACCGCAGACATGCGGAAGCTCCCTTAAGACGAAGAAGGTAATCAGGAGACAAAAAAGGAATCCCTCATCACATAGCAGGAAAAAAAGAGGAGAAATTGAGACTATATTTCTGATGGTCACCTCAACAGACCTTCGCCTCGGCTTCTGCTTCGGCCTCGTTAGTTCAGCAGAGTAAGGGTTCTCTCCGATCGCCGCCTACTCACTGGGAGTCGCCGAGGACGAGAGACGCCGTGCTACCAGGTGTTAGGGTTCGGAGACGAAGTCTGTACCCCGATTAGACTTTATAATCACCATCCTGTCCCTGGCATCCGCCGCCGTGGGATAGAGATCGAACGGCCGGAGACCTTTCAAATCTCGGCGGGAGGACGGGAGATCCAACGGGCGCTGGGACGTGGCATTAACCAAATAGATTGCGAGCAAATCACGAACCTCGGTCAACAGTCCGTCCAGCCCAGGCCCAAAGGCCCTCATCTAGAACCATAGTAAAGCCTAACTGGATCCCACTAGCAAAGACAAAGAGGATCCAAAGGCCCCTGAATCTGATGAAATGGCTACTTGGCGACAGGTAGAAGCTTTCTAATGGTTGTTCAGTTAGGGTTCCATTCGTCAAGCACCATATATCACTTTCCCTCTCTCTTCCTCTTATGTACCCATGAAAGAGAGAGAGAGAGAGAGAGAGAGAGAAATACGGAAAGAAAATAACAAGACATTATACGAAATAAATACGGAAAGAGAGGCTTGCATTAATATAAGAAACCTGATCTATACATATGCTGCTCGCCGAGATACCTCCTGTGACGAATCTCCGACAGCTGTACAACACTACGGAGAACCAAAACAAAACCACAGTAGCCTGACCCTCTCTCTCTCTCTATATTTATCTATTAGCTGACAGACGAAGGTGGAGATGTATTTACATAGAAGATTAGCTCGGAGGAAGGGAATTAATGGAGTTTATTCTGCGCTACTGCCTGACAAAGCTCGTCCTCGTAGAAGAGAACCCTGGTAGAGGCGACTGACTTGCAAATGGGCTTCGGCAAACCAGGCGGCACACGCAGCCGCGAAGGAAGGGCGGACTCTTGGAAGAGGACGGCGGCGATCTGGCTCACGTCCATCAGGTGAACGCGAGGTGGGCAAGGGCCGTGCCGGGGAGCTTTGGGGGTTCTAGGGTTCGGGCCCCAGCCGCCATTACCGTCGCCTTTGCTGAAGAGGGAAGAAAACTGTGAGTCAGTGGACAGAAGAAGTTTGCTCCTCGTAGGAAGAGGAGCTTCTTGTAAAGGATAGATACCTTATGAAAGGCCAGTGCTCGGTGGGGAGAGGAGTCTTTGTGTTGAGCATCTCCTGACGGGATCGATCTGGAGTTGTGTAATTGAAATGGTATTGTCTGGCGAGCAAAACCTGGTCGATGAGAGTTGACTATGATAACCAGAACGTTTAATAGGGGACAAAAATAAAAAACGAAAAGGGAAGTCAACGGAGCAGTGAAGCGATGAACAAGCGCGATGGTTCCCTGAGACTACTGGACCGTCTTGGAGAAAAAAAAAAAAAGGGTTACTGGAGATGAATCCAGATCATTATTTCGCAGGCCAATTTATCATTCCGATTTCTACAGTGCTTACGAATAACGAAAGGAAGCTGCTTGAAGTGAATATTGACTTAATTAATTGCTGCAACTTCGGCATCTATGTCTAGAATGTACGATCGAACAAGAAGTACTTACTGCCTTTCGAATCTTTTGAGAAACATGGAAGACAGCTTTGAGTTGATCATGATGCAGGTGACAGAGAATCTTGACCTTAAAAAGAAAGAAGGTTAGAATGACATACATACAGATCCATTAATGGCAGATAAACGAGAGTATTTATAGCAAAAGAAGAGGTGCATGAGAGAACCGGCCAAAGGTTCGGTGCCCAAGACATACCAGTAGATCCATTGGAAGAGATTCAAGCCTCGACATTGAATCGCATTCAGTAGCCATGGGGGTTTTCGGTGTTACTGGCGACTTATATGATCTGTTCCCATCGGCCAGTCTCGCAGCTGTTCCGAAAATGTTTCTGTCGGGTGATGTCACTGGAGTGATATCAATGTCAAGCTGTGTTTGGCGTAGTAGGCCGATTTTTGCTTCCTTGGAATGGAGTACGACCCTTTTCTTGCCTATGTCTGTGCATGGCTTCGTTGTAGCTCTATTATATCGGATCTGGGCAAGTGCGCCAGGCTTCAGGTACTTGTTTTTGGTTTTCCTTACACGTTTCTTCTGCTTGAAAGCCATTCAATCCATGCATCAAGGAACAGTCACGGTAGTTTTGACAAGCTTCTTTTCAATCCGCGTCGTATCTTGTATCTCTGTGAGCTGATCAGAGTCTACAATTTGCAAACCAGAGATAACCGATGATTAATACCCTCGTCAATAAAATGTTTGACATATGTTGCATCATTACCAAACAAGATACGACTGAAAGCTTATGCAAGAACAGATGGGCAAGAGTAAAGCTTAAGAGTGTCAGACAATGTATAAACTCGATCACCAAGGCGAACCATTGATCCAATTAAGCCATAAAATATTTCTGGCGTCAAAAAATCTAAGCCAATCACTACACTGGGCAAGAACAAGTCCACAACTAGATGCCCCATCGGTCTCCGTCCTGAAAAAAAAAAGAAAATCCTCTGAATTGATCGATGAGGATAAACGCAGATTTGTCTAGGCCACCATATCTAGGCGTGGGAAAGATCATACCTCCACCTTCGAAGACAGATTAAGTTATCTTTAAAACATCACATCTCTTTGGGCGAATGAACTTGAACTTCAAATACTATTTAGAGAGGAATGACTGATAATGGGTATCAGTTTTGTTTTTAGGAAGGAAGGGATATGCAGTTACTTTGCGGCTGATGCATGATTATAGCATAATGGCATCGACAACTCTAATCTCAAATGTTATCTAATAAAGCGTAGGCATAGCACCAGGCAACAAACCATGTCCATACGACCATGACAAGCCCTAGTGCACGTAACCCGCCAGAGAGAGCTGAAAATGGGGGAACAGCAACTTAACTTACTACGATCGCATTGATAACTGGAATAAACCATCGTCTCTCAACCTTTTCCCCCCGCTCGACATCTAGTTTTTATTTGACATCGTAAAACCTTGATATAAGAATATTCCAGGACGCAAGGAAAGACACAGGTGCCTATTGGAGCTTGTCAAGTTCCAAGCGAAAGGATTGTTTGCGTGAGCATCGGTAGATAGGGAACTAATAAGTGCGAGAGATCGAGAGAGAGAGCAGATCCCAGTTGCTACAAATCAGTGAAAAAAACTAGCTCGTAGCCAGGAAAGGTACAAGGAGGGAAGGAACTGAATCAATAACGGAGCTTACCATAGAAAGCGATGAGATTCAACACGTCGGTCTATATCCCCACACGCACGCTGCAATCACAGAAAACTATCAGAAAAAAAAAAGCAAGTTGAGAAACGGCAGCCACTTAGATCGGAAGAAGATGACAACTGCAGAGACTCAGACCTACGAAGAAAACCGAATGAAAAATCTGCCAAAGGGTTGCCGACTGAAGTTCCGAGACCTCCGCCGCAGCTTTGAAGCCGGGAGTCCACCGCAGGAGTGAAGTAACTGAAACCCTAGCACCACGGTGCGAGAAATGAAGGCGGGGAGAGGCCAAAACTGTTTTGAATTTCCTCCGTCCGACTTGCGCGCCAAAATTTTTGGGAAACGGCTGCGGGAAAAACTATTCCAACCAGGGAAAGGTCATTCAACGGGGCCCGCACGTGGCGATCTGTCATTGGCCCCACTTTGATTTCTGGTTTCGCATAATCTGGCGGGAAAGAGAGTGATCTCGTGGTTGTTTATAATGACTAGACATGGCAAAGGGCTTGCGCTGAACAGCGCTGGCCAGTCGCCTGAGGCGAAGAGTGAGGAAGGAGAAAAAGGAGGGCGTCGATGGAGAACGAGGATGAAGATCTTCGGCAGTGTCTTCCGGCGACATTTTCGAGTGAGTTTCTGCAGGTTTCATTGTCTCTTCGGCTGCTATCTTCCGTCTTCTTCCAGTTGGCGACACAGGAAGGGGAGGAGGAGGGGGAGGAGAGGAGGTCTACCTCGGCGCAGGAAAAGCTGACATACAGCACCTGACAGGCTATGGTGTCCGGCAGAGGTGACACCGTGAAATTTTAAGGTGAGAAGCCATTGAAGAGGAACCATGGCGTGCCGAGGTGCTACACGTGAACGCGTCAGGAAGGGGCCACACAAGATAACGACACATTAACTCCGGGGCCTGGATCTTCCGAGCTTGATGGTCCTCCATGGTGGTGGCCGCTCACGTTGAACACCGTGGCCGAGGAGGACATCGAACGAGTATGACCTGGTGTTCTGGCGTGTCCTCTGGGTGGAAAAAGGAGGAAGACAAAAGATGGCCCTAAAGTGAAAGCCAGGAACTCACAACCTTTTTTGCCCCTCCCCACTGCTGACCTCCATGTCCCCCCCTCCGTGCTCTCCACTGGGGCCGTGCTGTAGCACGGGCGCACCACGCAGTCAGCCACGAAGAGCGGCTACTGGTGGTCGGGCGTGCCCTCCCCGCACCAAATAGAAGAAGACACAATACACTTGAATGGGGGGGGGGGAGAGAGAGAGAGAGAGAGAGAGAGAGAGAGAGAGAGAGAGAGAGAGAGAGAGAGAGAGAGAGGAGCAGTGGAGGGGTCTTTTTCTCAGATGTCCACTAGTAGGAACGCCCACTTCACGGGAATTCATGAGGTGAGGATCCCAGAAATTCCAGACCCCCTATCCTCTCCTCAACCCAATAACTGCAAGACGCAGAGTCAATGGTTACCGTCGACAATGCGGTTTAGCAGCGGGGAGTAGTTGTAGAGGATGTGATTTCGGGGGCATACCTGATGGAGACTGTGGAAGTCCTCCCATTTCTGAGGCTCCCGGCGGCTGATCCTTTCAGATCGCATCTCTCTCTCCCGGAATCGAGACTGGACTCGGTATTCTATTAACCTTCCCCGATAATTGATTTTCTTTTCCAGGATTTCAATGGGTTTTTGGGACTAGAGCAGGAGGAGCCGCTCGAGTTCACTGGGCATATTCTTCTACATGTAAATTATCAATGCTCGCCTTTCCAGACTACTGGTTGGGACGATTTCTTCCTTTCAGTGAAGCTTCACATCTCTAGATTCGAACTGTTTCCTCCGTCATACAAGCTTTGTAGTCGTCCTCGAAAAAGAACAAGAGCTACCTCACAGAGATAAGAGAGAAGATTTCCTCGAGACCGGGAAGCAGACGAAGAAATCAAAGCTGTCAACAAGGTGCCGACGTCTCCACCATTGATTGGTGCCCGGGAAGGTATACAGCCGTCTGATTTACACCGGATTTAGTCTCAGGCCAATTTACTCTGGATTTGCCGAAGGAAAACATAAATCTTCATAACTTGTGAGCTCTCTGGTAACCGAAACTTTGTTTCTGCGTGATATAGCTGGATTTAATTCCTCACCAACTTTGCTACAGGTTCTTTGAAATCTGGTTTTGTCGTGACTGCTGGAAAGGGAGAAAAAATGTTGACATGGGAGCAACTGGGCGAGATCGGAACCGCCGGCCAGCTAGTGGGCCTCGATGCCGTTCGCCTGATCGGGATGATCGTCCAGGCTGCTAACACGGCCCGCATGCACAAGAAGAACTGCCGGCAGTTCGCTCAGCACCTGAAGCTGATCGGGAACCTACTGGAGCAACTCAGAATCTCGGAGCTGAAGAAATATCCTGAGACGCGAGAACCGCTGGAGCAGCTGGAAGACGCTCTCAGAAGGTCTTACGTGCTGGTGAACAGTTGCCAGGACCGGAGCTATCTGTATCTACTGGCCATGGGGTGGAATATCGTTTACCAATTTAGGAAGGCCCAGACAGAGATCGACCGGTATCTGAAGCTCGTCCCCCTCATCACTCTCGTTGACAACTCCAGAGTCAAGGTGGACATCCTTCTTTCATTACTTTCTTCTTTCCGCAGTACATTCTTCAGCTTCAAGACTAAAATTTTGTTCCTAAATTTTGAAAGTGGGTTGTAGTTTCTAAAATGGCTCCGATTGCTGATGCATACTTGTTACAGTCGTCCTTTTTCTTAAATATTTTCATATTTTCATACTTCTTCAGGAAAGGCTGGAATGCATTGAAAGGGATCAGTGTGAGTACACTTTGGACGAAGAGGACAGAAAGGTGCAAGATGTCATACTGAACCGTGATCCTTCTGATGAGGGCGCGATGGTGCTCAAGAAGTCCCTCACTGGCTCATACCCAAACTTGCCATTTGATAAGGCCCTGAAGAAAGAAAATGAGAAACTTAATTTAGAACTACAGAGATCACAGGATGTCAGTCAGTATGAAGTCATTCAGCATTTGCTTGGAGTGACAGAAGCCGTGGCAAATGCTCTGAAAGAAAGGGATTCTCAACTCAAGAACGTGAAGAAGGTGGATGAACATCGCTCGAAGGATCAGAGCATCAAAGAACATGATTTTGGCCAGAGGTACATTCTCTTCTTGAAGATGAATGCTGTGATCCTGTACAGGGTTAGAACGTGAACCCCCATCAAATTTCTTTCATATTAAGTGAGGAGGAACACATAACACAATAGTTTATAATTCCTTGGCTTTATTACTTAAAGCTAACAGATCTTGTGCGCCAGGCTTGTTTAATCTTGATTTTCAAACACAATTCCATCGCTCTGGTTTCCCCACTGATCCATTGACAAGCTCATTCGGGGTGCACCCTGTTTCGATCTCAATCTCAGGTGTGGTTCCTCAGTACTATCAGGCCATAACTCGATCTCAGCTGTCTCACGCGGACATGAAGAATGGCACTTTGACTTACTGGATTGTTGCTCCGAACCTTATTTGTGTAAGTCAATTAAAAATCTGGCCTCGGCTCGGTTCTTGTTCTAAATATATTCATTCATCGCATTATCTCGTATGATTTAATTTCCGCGGAGCCTCTTCAATGTACTCCGCAACCCTATTCCATCATGGAATCCGCTTGACATCTCGCAGGCATGAAAACGTTCTTCTGTCCCTGCGGAACTTTCTCTAAGATAGCGTCTGTTGCCAGAAATAGGCAAATATGTGAGTGTCTACTCCGATCGCAGCCATTATTAAGGTAAAATTTGCTGGTTTTACTGATTACTGACCTGCTTGATCGTTCATCAGCTCCAGAGGAGACATGCAATGATCTGATGGCCTATTCATTGATTCTATCTTGCTGCTGCTATACCTGCTGCGTTAGAAGGAAGCTTCGCAAAATGCTGAACATCACGGTAATCATATTCTCATCTCTTTTGTGGAAACCGTGTTAGTTATGATACATCTCTGTAATTTCCTTGTGTTTAGCTCTCAACGTCAACACGCTCTGAAATAGTTCTCCCGTGTCGGTGGTAGGGTGGACTTTGCGATGACTTCCTGTCCCACTTGATCTGTTGCTGCTGCGCGCTTGTCCAAGAATGGCGAGAGGTGGAGGCCCGTGGAATCCATGGGAACACGAAGACTAGCCCACCATCCTTCCAGCGCATGGAATCGTAGCTTGAGAGTCAAACGGTGAGGTCTCCCCTCCGCTCTCTCTCTCTCTCTCTCTATATATATATATATATATATATATAAATCAAATAATTAGTGAATTATAATAAGTGAACAATTAAATTTGAAACTAATATCTATCTATTAGAAAGAATATGTATGTCTAATTAATGTATTTTTTATCGCTACACATAATCTCTATGGTGGAAGGACAACAAGGACAAATCTTTGGAGAATAAGGTGAACTTGCACCTTATTTAAGCTTTTAAAACATATAAAATGTATATTTCAATGAAATTGGAGCAACAATTATTTTTCTCAGATGCCCCCTACTGGTGTTTGCATGATATGATGAGGTTGTAAATAGGGTCTCAATAGAGCCAATTACTGCTAATGAACTTTGTGGGGGTGGGGCGTTGACTTTGGGTAGTGTAGTAACTTCTTTTTTTCTCCTCTCTTGTTCCATTTCAATGCCTTAAAATGGCAATCTATTGGATCAACGATGATAGTAGAGAAGTAGAGTATTTGACAACATGAAACATAATTTAAATGGAGGTTTGAATTTGATTGAACTTCAAAGAGGATATGGTGGTTCACATTGGGAGGCATGGTGGCTGGAGTAATGGAGGAAGAAAGCTTTTAAATTTTGGCTGACAGGGCTCGTTTCTGTTTTGAAGACTATTGATTAAAAGACCCAATAATTTGGGGTAAATTACTGGATTTTACTCATTAATTAATGGAACTTTAATGTTGAGTATTTTGCATTGTAGGTGCACTCCATTGTTAAAAGTAATTTTCTATTGACATATTGAAAAATGACAATAAATGCTTTGTTGTGATTACTAAGGGGAGAGAGAGAGAGAGAGAGAGAGAGAGAGAGAGAGAGAGAGAGAGAGAGAGAGAGAGAGAGAGAGAGAGAGAGAGAGCTTATAATGTGATGAAGTTCAACCTCATATTGAACTAACAAGAGGGTATCATAATGGTCTTCTAGGAAGTTCAATGTTGAGGAAGATGGCTCCATTGGACTGCCATGTTGGCAAGTTTATCTAGTGTATTATTTGAGGGCCCATTAATTCTCTTTGTGCACCTCTCTTATTTGGGGTGATGTCATTTTTGTTGTTGAAAGTTATTTTGATCTATATGAGGAAGGGAACTAGGAACAAGGAAAGGGAAAATAAAGTTGATAAATATGAAAAGTCACATGTTAAAATGTAGAGCACACAAACTAAATAGAAAGCTTAGTAAGATGATCTAGTTATACTTTTCTTTGAAAATGCATGATAGTAGAATAAATATATGAATATTTATACTTAATTAAGTGTAATATTATCAAATGATCAAACTAGATTTTATTGAACATATCTATGATCAATAATATAAAATTATGTAGGTGATTGATTTCACTATACAAAATTATTATGATACATAATGTCGTGAAAAGTATTAACATTTCTATAATATGTAATAGTGAGAAAATAATAATTAGTACATTTAATTCCTTGAAGTAAAAAAATTAGTATGGAAATTTACTCAATTTATTAAGTGTTTAATGACATTAGATCATTAGTTTCAAATGATTTTGATATCAAATTAATTTATTGAATTCAGATAGCTTATTTTTCCAAACATGATTTTTTGGATATTAAAAAGTGTATTTTGAAAAATCATTTTATACATCTTGAGTTTTCAAAATTATTACACTTTAAAATCATGGCTAAGATATCCACTTAAGAGTGAACCACATATAGAACAAACTCATATAAGTTTGATTGTTAAGTTATTATGTGATAGAATTACATGTATTGATTTTGTTGTTATATTATTTGATCTTTATTTTAAAGTGATAGGAAATGAATAAAAACATTATGACTTAATGGCATTGAGTGTTGGGTTCATACAAAGATATATAGAAAGATTTAAATAATATATCGTATTCAATTTTCAGTTGTTCAAATTTGTCTTTATTCCAAGAAAAATAGACTTTGAAGATTTCAAAGATTTGAGAATTTTTTTCAAATGATTCCCTCACAAATACAAAAGTTTTTGAATTAATAACTGGTATTGAATATATGTTTATCTCCTTACTACAACCTCTAGCTTTGAAAGCAACATTAAGAGTGAACTCTATTGACAACCAGCACTTGTGCTTGAAGAAGAGCAATATATTCATAGCTTTGAAATCATCATCTCTCTCTTAAGAACTCTAGACAAATCCAATTCAAAATCAATCTCTAGAGTCATCATATGGTGTCAACTTTTGTTATTTATCGTGAGATAAAAAGGAAACTAAAGTCTTGGTTATTGTGACTTTGAGTTGCCCTCATGGAACAATAGTTTGGTCTCTTATAGTTGCGAATATAGAAGAAAATTTCAAGGAAAATTTTGTATAGAGTTGTCTTGATGAATAGTAGTATGATCTCTTAGAGTAATAAATCTAGAAATAAGTTTCTAAGTGAAATTTTGACAGCATTAAGTTCATTAATCAACATCAAATGATTAATGGTAATAAAATCAAATAATATGTTTATTTTTGAAGACTGGCCATAGACAATGAGCCAAATCACTATAAAAAGGAGTATATTCTACATTAAATAATAATTCTATGTGCTCATTATCCTAATAGAAGATTGATCTTTTGGGAGTGATCATCTAGAGAAAAGCAAAAAATAAATTAATTCAACCTTCTCTTCTTAATCTCAATGTAGGCTAAAATCTAACAATAAGAATGGAGTCTAAGACTTGCAAGAACCTAGAAAACTTAAAAGTGTTCATTTGAGATGACCATTACTCTCCACCTTTGACTTCTCAAAATGTGCTCCCCTCTACTTTGTCCTATGATAATATCCCTCTTCTTTAGAAAATGATTTAAAAACCACACACTAATTCATCTTGAGGGGGAGTTTTGGGATTGTTTCTTCATCTAGAATTGTTGTTGCAGTGCCTAATGTGTCATAGTTGTTGTTTATAAATTACACAATTTCTTAATTTATAAAAAATGAATTTTAGAGATTATTAAACAATACTAATAGTGGAATACATGTCATTTCCTCAAGAATGGGGTTGTCAATTACAATGCTTACTCTTTATCAATCATAAAATTAGTAGAGTAAATGAAATTAAAAAGAAAGTGAAGAAATTTAATTCTTCTATGTTGAGTGTGTCACCCACTTTCTATAGAAGAACATGGAAAATGATAGCATAAGTAATGAAAACTATAAAAAAGGGTGAGAAAATCATCTTTTGCTTGTCCTTGTGTCACCCATAGATTAGCAAACGAATGAGTGTGTTGATGGAATTGATAAAATATTAAAAAATGTGAAAAATCTACTTCAGATCTATAAGTCACTTAAAATTCTAGAGAAGGATAATGTAGTAAATCAAAATGGTAAAGAAAGATCATAAATTGTTTAAATAAGATGTCCTTTTAAATCTGTGTCACTCATAAATCCAAAGAGGAAGAATAGTAAATTAAATTAGTAAAGAAAACCATAAAATATTAAAATATAGTCTTATTTAAATCCTTGTGTCACCCAAAGATCTAAAGAGGATGAAAAAATAAATTAATTCCTAAAGAATATTAAATAGAAACAATAAAAGAGAGTCATAATCTATATCATTCTCAGTGATGGGGAAGGAAAGGGGGTGATCGCTCTAAAATATCATAATTAAGGAGTGCCAAAAACAAAATTTATAATGTTCGGATGTCTTCCTAATGATACTAATGAATATAGTTTAATGAGTATCCAAGTTAAATCATATAGATATATATAAACTAAGGAGAGATTTAACTTTTGATCAGGATTGATTTTTTGATGAAGAATTAGATGTAAAGATGGAAAAAAATTATTAAAATACAAAAGAGAGAAAGGAACAAAACCTAGATTATTGACTTCTCAATCAACAATCCATGGATAATTAGATCAAGAGACAATTAAATTTAGTTGACGAGTTGAATTACTAAAGTCCTAATGTGTGAAATTAAATACCCCACCTTTATAGATCACCCTATGACACTTTGGAGATCAATAACAAGGTTAAAGAATGTCCTAAACTAATTCTAACCTCATACAATCTCCACCACTCTTAGAAATATATTCTACTTGGACTTAATAAGGGAACATGGGATCATCGGGGATAGAAATCAAGTTTGATGTCTACTCTAATTCATGTACTCTCTCTTATTTGATCTTATTTTGGATCAATCTTGATAGACTAAGTGTAGAAATAAATATGCAAGCACAAGATCATAATAATAATGAATACTTAATTTTTGGATATCAGTGAGAGAAATAGAAGTAGAAATTATCAAGCTATCAAGAATCTTGATGAGAACAAAATGTTCACCAAACACTTCTAATTCAAGTCTCAACACCCTTGAGACAACCCACACACTATAAAATAAGTAATTGACTTTTATCTCCTTCTATAAGGACTTCGCCTACAATAGAAGAGAGAGGAGACCAAGAAAAAATAAGAGAATTGATAAAGATAGAGAATAGAATCAAAAGAGAGAAATCTCGTCGTTCATCGAACTAAAAAAAAAGAAAATACATGCTATATCTATAACAAATATAAAAAGACAATTGTCCTCTTAAAAGGAGGCATCTCAATCTACGTGTGAATGAGCCCACACATCTCAAAGGTGACAGCTTCAACCTCTCTCATTTCTCGCTCCCTCTTTCCCTACATGACTCCCGAAATGGGTCAAAAGGGATGAGGTGACAATCATCTCTCTCTCCCTACACGACCCCTAACAAGGTCAGACATGATGAGGTGACAACTATGTCATCACCCCTCACTCCTTGCGTGTCTCTTGAGCGAGTCAGACAGGAAAAGGTCTCTCACACATATCTTGGGTCAGCCGTGATCAATTGACACCGCCAACACCAAGAGATCACGAAACCTAAGAGAATAATGAAGGTAAATGAATGGTGAATTGAAATCAGGTTCTCACCTAGTGTCATGGCTAGGCAAAATACCTTAATCACGATTCCTAACTATCTTTA